GTTTAAAATATTGTTCATAACACACTAAATTGCCCCTTTTGTTGAAAAAGGGGGATAAGCATGCTTTCTTATAATATAAGTGTGTTAGTTTTTTTAGTTTTAAAGTGAGATATTGTGACTGTCTTAATTTCTTTGAATCTCTACTGTCTTGACTTATGAATTGTCCTGCATTTGAAATACCATAAATTAAACTACTGAACTTATTTAACTTATTTAATCTCTGTCTTAGTTTGCAGTGCCTTACTTTCAAGTGATTTCAGTTTGGTTAATCTTAGGACGTGCATCATCATGTCATTCTGGAAAATGGCTTGATGGGTTTTGAAAGTGAATCTTCTGAGACTTTCTTGACATAAGATGCCAGTGAAACATTTTTATTTTGCAGCAAGACCAGTACTGGCACTACTGAAAATTTACTTTTGGAAACCACGAGACATCTTGCTGGAACAGTGTGGTTGGAAAAACTTTTGGCTTGATCCAGATGGAAACAGAATGTTCTGAAATTATTCAGAACAGTTTGTTCCTAGATTGATGAATTTTGCATATCCCTAAATAAATCTAATACTTCATATATAAACTTGTGTCTTAATTACTGAGATTCTGAAATATTTCTCTTTGGCTTTAGCAGTTTTTCAGCAGTTGTAACTGCTCCTGTATAATCATACCTGAACAAAGATTAGGAATGACCCTTGGTTTCATATAACCTTTCCCTCAGTGCAAAGAGAAAAGATTAAATGCTTTCATTTATTCATTTTATCTCACAAACAAGTACAGACAAAAAGTGGGTGTCAGTAAATTCTTAGCATTAGTTAAAGGTACAACCTTATATTAGATAACTCTTTTAAATATTTTGGAATAAGTATCCAAAGAAAAAAGAATTTGATAATGTAAATATTTAAACAGTTTACCTCGGGTTATTATTGATAGAAATAGATGGTTAAGTTTATTAGGGAAAAATAAATGTATTCATAATGAATTCCCATGTTAATACCTTAGAGCAGTGATGGCAAACCTTTTAGAGACTGAGTGCCCAAAAACTGGCTCCACTTTGCTCCACTCCCCACCCCGCCCCCACTCTGCCCCCCCATCTCTCACCCTGCCTGCCCACAGGACCACTTACTGCCTCCAGGGCCGGCCACAGATCATCCAGGCAGCCCAGCAGCGCTATTGCGGCCACACCCTCTGCCCGCACCCTGCAGTATCAACTGCATGATGGGGTGTGAGGGCAGAGTCTTGTCTACGTTGCCTGGCTGCCATGTCCTTGGCTGCGCTGCTCTGTGTGGGCCACTCTCAGGGGCGACTCTCCTTCAGGGGTGCTACTGGAGAAGAGGGGGTCGCGGGGGGAGGCGAGGCTGGGCAATGGCAAGTGTGCCCACAGAGAGGGCTCCGAGTGCCGCCTCTGGCATCTGTGCCATAGGTTCGCCATCACTGCCTTGGAGATATTTCAAGCAGGTTAAGAAATTGTTAAGGTTATCTGAAGGGCAATGCTGCAGGTTTTATTTTATCTAAATGATAGTTATTCAAAACAATGGGCGTTTTAATTTTTCTGACTTTCATTTTTAACGAGCATATATATTGATTTCTATTTTTCTATGGAATTCACGTAATAAAGTCCAAAAACCATTGAGGGCACATCATCATTAGACCCGTCTTACCTTACAGCAAGGGCTTGATTTATGTTTTGTCAAAATTCTTCTTCCTTTCAAGCATTTAACCTCTATGATGCTTATTTGGAAATTATTGGGACAGAAGTTTAATTTGACCCTTTTATGATCAACTAGGGTAATCCCAGTCTGTGAATTGCAGGTAAAAATAATTAATAGGCTAGTAGGAATTTCAATATTTTAGATAAATTAACTTCAGGTTTTAAAATCATTTTAATTACTATGAGAAGAATTTGGAATGTTTAAAACCAAGGAATGTTTGTACATTTAGCTAAAACATCTTTTGATTTCATAGTTTGGTTTACATTTAGTCATTTTCCAAGGTTTGATCACCAGTTTCATCGTTCATTTATTTATTTAACACAACAACCCATCTCTAAACAATTTATGCTAGAAATATAAATAGTGGTGGGGCTCATGCACACCTGGTGAGGTTGCCCTCCTGTTGTTTTCTTTTGGTTTAATAACCATAATTAATGGTTATTTTGGGAAGTTATGTTCCCAATAATTTTGGAAAGAGTAAGGCAGTTTAAAAATGTGATGATGATTTTGAACTGTATATGAAAAAATGGAATTTATCATTTATGATTTTTATCGAATTTATAAATGTTATGAATCTGTGAGTTTATCAAGCAATAACTACATGTTCAAAACTTTGTTAATAGTTTTAAAAGACTTGCAGGTTTAACTGATAAACAGCGTAATCTAAATCTTCTCTCCCCCCACCAATATTTAGTTACTGTTGAAAAAGTTCTGATATCATTGAGTGCAGTCATAGGGCCCCAGCTGATACAGTGAGTATGTTGCATCTAGTATTTACAGCTTGATTGACAACCTGTAATATAAACATTAGTCCAAACATGATCTTAAAGTGAAACTACACCCATGCGAGAAGACAGCAGTCCTTCTGCCACGCGCCATAAATCGTTTACAGCTTGCTCATGCCAGTGCATTTGAGAAACAGCTGCACCCTGGGATTAGCAGTTTGTAGAAGGCCTCGGATGAGCTGAATAAGGGCCTTCTGCTCTGGTTCTAAATGCTGGTAATGGAGAGAGTGCAATAATAGAAGTATTTTCTCTGCACCAAAAAGCAGTTTAGTTTGTTTAGGCAACAAGATAGGGGATTTGCATAATATAGGATAGTGAGTAATATTGTCCCATGCTATGAGAGTAGCTTACAATCATGTTGCTTATTCTTGAATTGAGTTGGTAATCAGTATTTTACATATGGAAGCCAGTAATGGGGAAATGTTACATTCTAATAAATCGGGTATTGGGTGACAGGGAAACATTTAGTGAGCAATGAATTTATTGTCACGTGCTCCAGATATTGGGGAGGAGACTTTTATCTCATGTCTCATCTCATCAAGATTTTATTCTCAATTTGTTAATATTTAATATTTAAATATGTCTAATTTGTGCCTTGATGACATGCAGGGAATTGAGAACATATCGTGCCAACTGAAGTATTGTAAAGAAAGATAAAACTCATATTGTGCTTGACTACCTATTTAAATTTGTGCTTGAGCAGAGATTGAATGAACTTAAAACCTGCATGAGCACATTGCACAACAGGTAAAACTACTACACATGGTGAGATAATTTATATGGCTTATATTAAGTTTGGCTAACTGACTTACCTGCTACTGAAAAGGTATTTCACTTTAATTATTGTGAATGGGTGTCAGTATACTATATGCATCCTCCAGTCAGTAGGAGATAGACAATAGCATATTGGCTGTCAATATAGTCTTTACATCAGAAATCATAACATCCATAGAATAGTATGAGCATGCTTAGGGTTACACTTTAGTTACACACATTGAATACTGGTGAAAAAGTACTTAAGCTAAATGGTACTGTCCTTACTATTAATAGGGAATGCTGCATAAGGGATGACTATGATTAGTTTAGTCTGCATCTAACTTGCTAAAACATTTTATTTATCAGGATTAATTGAGCAAAGCCTTGATGTGCAGTGAGGGTAAATATATATGGATCCTTCTGGAGATAATCAGAGTATGTGAAGGGATTTGGCTTGCAATGTTAGAGAAGTCTAAGAGCATTAATAAATGAATGAAAATGGAGAAATAGCTAAGTTACATATCTGTTAGCTGAAGAGAAAGAAAAGATGTAATAGATGAGATGGTCTGCTGTTCTTAAGTGGAATTGATGAATTCATGTGGGAATGTATATTACATTTTGAATGAAAGTGCTAAAAGTATGTCAGAAAGCATGAATTGGGATCATCGATTGATTGTGAATATGTTAGGAAATAAAGAATTCAGAGGCTGGCAACTGATGCCTGTAATGCTTCACTATGTTACAGGCATATTAATGAAAGAATCAAAGAATCAAAGTTTTGAAAAAGTTGTACAACATTCAAAGGAAAAATTATTCTTGCACAGGTGGATGGGTGAAACACAAGTGTACAGTTTGCTGATGTGTACAGAAAAAGTGATTGACACGTTCAGAAGAAACTAAAGAATAGATTTCTTTTAGGCATAATTTTTGAATTACTATATTTTGGCTTTGGCTCCCCTTTTCTTCATGACAATTTAAGTGGTTTGTTCTGGCTTCCAGTTTGCTTTCTTCTCTTTCTTCAATTTTGGCCATGTTTTTTCTGATTGATTTTTAACAACCTCATTGAATTCATTCCTTAATTCCTCTGGTTCTTTATCAGTGAGGTTCAGGACTTCAAAGTGATTCCTGATGTTCTCTTTGAAAATGCAGGTGATGTCCATATATAGAGGTGTCATTTTGATTGTTTAAAGACAGCTATGAAAAAAATCATTGCAGTGGCAGTAAATGATAAATTTCATTTCCATTTCCTAACCCATACAATCCAGCTGTACTTTCCTCCTTAATATTTCAACTTTGGCATTCCAGTCTCTTAATCACAAGCAGTATATCCTGTTTGCATTTTCCATCAATTTCAAATTGAAGTTAATCATAAAACTCATCCATCTCTTCTTCTACATTGGTGTTTGAAACATGAGCTCCAACTATCATCATATTAAAGGGTTGTCCACAAAATCTAATTGATATTATTTGGTCATTGATTGTAGCCAAAATCTAATTGATATTATTTGGTCATTGATTGTTCTCGTTACACCATTTTAAACTATAAAAGTAACTCAATTTCTTTATTTTCATGTCCTCAGTTATAAATATGGTGATTTTCTGACTGAAAGTTTCTGATCTTAATGCATCTTAGTTTGCTGATGCTAAAATGTCAGTTTTTAGAAGTTTCATTTAATCTTTTATCGTGTTGAACTTTCCTGTGTTCATGCTTCTTATCTTCCATGCTTTTTTACTGTAATTATCTTTGCTTCTACAGTTTTTCCCCCTTTCTGGATATCCCAGTGGCTTTAATTTAGCCACATCATAAAGACTTCAGTGCCCTGGAAGACCCTCAATAGCATGTTGAGTGTCATTTGACTACTTTGAGATGCCCATCATCAGGCATTATATTGTGAGTCATTTTATCTTTTCTATCCATGTGGTTTTCTTGGTAAAAAAAAACTGAAGTGGTTTACCATTGCCTTCTCCTAAGCAGCATGAATAGCTTTGCCATTGTCATTAAAATTATTGCCTCCAGTGTTTTTCTGTATTGGTGCTGCCCAATATAGATGCCTGCTGGTTTAGCTGGGCAGCTGGGATTTATTTATTTATTTATGAGACTTATATACCGCTTTTAAGTGCAAGCACTCTCTAAGCGGTGTACACCAGTAAGCAATGTATATATATATTTTACATTGCCCCCAACAATCTGGGTCCTCATTTTATCTACCTTGGAAGGATGGAAGGCTGAGTCAACCTTGAGCCGGTGAGATTTGAACCGCTCACCTGCTGAACACAGTCAGCTAAATTGGCCTGCAGTACTGCACTCTAACTGCTGCGCCACCTCAGCTCATATGAAGGATGACCTTCATATCTTCAGTGACCCTGCTGGGAATATATACTACTGTACTATATATACTGTTGGCATACAGTCCCAATTTTCTTTGCTCATCATTCCAGGAACACATACATATTCTGCCACAATAAGGCAGCACAGCACAGAAATAGGTGAAGGGGGCTAAAGAAGACATGTGCAGCAGTGTGAATGGAATTAAAAGTCGTTAAATATTTTGGGATGAAACTGAAGTGAGGAAAATCACTTCAGTGAAGTTCAATATTGAAGAGAGCAAGAAAGGTATGCACAATGACATCTTTGTTGTTTCTTGAATTTACAAATGAATGTATAAGGAATATTTATGATTACGTTTTAGGTATGTTGGCTTGGGGCATTAATTTGTTTGTGTTTTTACGTTCTTTGTAACATTTCTGAGAAAGTAGTTGGTATCCAGGCACAAAGGGCTCTGAATAAGAGAGACTACGTGGGGTCCTTTTAGTTGGGTTTTAAGCCTAGGCCTGGTATGGAGACTACATTAGTGTTCTTGTAGATGTTCTGTAGAGGGACCTGGAGATAGAAGGGCACTCTTCTTATCTTTTTAAATCTCTCAGAAGCATTCATAATCTTTTAGTAGAATATGTGAAGGTTGGAAATTGGGGATACCATTCTGGAGTGATTCTATGCTTTCCTGAGTGGCTGGTGCCATTTTGTGTTATTGGGAAAGGAGAAATGAAGTCATTAGGGATACTGGTGTGGATTGCATCAGGGGGAATTATTTCTCATCCTGTTTAATGTCTACTTGAAATATCTAGGCCTTTTAAAAATACTTTTTTTTAAGAAAGCATAATTGTTAGATAATTTCTCAGTGTAAATGTGTTTTCATGTTATAGTTGTTTTTAGATTGTACATTGTAAGGTGCCTCAAGCTGTCGAGTTAGACGCCATACAAATGCCGCAAAATATGTTACATATTAAATAGTGACTTATTAAATCAAATACTGAAAATGATTTGGGTACATTGGTAGGATATTTATTAGACAGAGGAATATGAATGGAGAAAGTTTACGGCATGCAAGCAAGTACTGGTAAAAGAAAAGTGGGCAGTATGTGATCTATTGTGAGGGATGAATATTTGTTGAAAGAGGTGCAAATGATTTTATAAAACCATATTTCTGCCTGCTTTGTTATACTGAAGTGCGAGTTGAGTATGTCAGGGGAAACAAAAGCAAATTGGCATAATAAGTGTGCATAATAAAAGAAGAAAATATAGATTGCATGAAGAAAGAAGTTCATTGAGAAGGTTTGGTTATGTAGAAAGGATAAGTGAGGATCAAGAAGTAAAACAGATATATGAAGGAACTGTGGATGACTGAGAAAGTAATTGGTAAATGGAGTTGATGAGATTTTCAAAAAGAAAAAGGTACTTCCAAAAATAAAACTCAACATATGAGATTTAGTAAATGCTGTTGATGATTGTGTGTGTGTGTGTGTGTATGTGTGTGTGTGTTATACAGTATCTTTAACTGATTTAGTTTTCTGTTTTGTTTTACTTTCCGCTCTACATAACATTGCTTACTGAAAGGAAATAGAGTCACGAGTATGTATCTTATTCAGACATGAGAGATGTAACATTTTATTTATGATCACTGTGATCTATCCTCATTCTAATTTCAAAAGCTGAATAGCAGGACAGAAATAATAAAGTTTTCTCCTGAATGCAACTTCACGTCCATTGAGGACAAGGCTGGGATGTAATAATGTTCTGAAAAATGTGACAGCTGTTTAAAAACATAAGCATCATAGATTAGTAAACAAATCCAGAAAGCCTGTAATTAAACAAAAAGTACCAAATTAAGCTAATTAAAATGGATAAAACCCAAACAATCCAATAAATTTCTCTGAGCGACTAGAAAAAGAAATTTTAAAAAGTGTTTGCAGCATATACAGTAGTAAATTTGCAGTCTTCAAATAGCAAACCATTTCAGAGCTGTGGTGTCATTGTACAAAATATCCTGTTGTATGACATTTAAATTTGCAGTTTTTACGATAGCAAGTGAGAAATACCTCTTTACTGATCTGAATGAGTAGTTACCATGGGGTATGTTATTGTACTAATACTAATCACTTTATGTCTTCAAGTTTACATTGTATAAATTATTGACTTTTAAAGTTGCTGTTTACTCTTTAGTGAAACACCCATGAGGACTAGTAACTTTCATAATAAGTGGGAAAAAGCTACATTAGGCCCTGAAATGTAACAAGAATCCACATGCCGTTTGCTACCTGCCCCCAGGTTAACCTAATGACTCAGACAAGCCTTACTCTATTTGTTTAGCAGGCAAGGCATGGCTTACATGAAATAGATTTCTAACACACTCTTTCCTGCTTCTGCGTGTTTGCTGCTGTTGAAAGTGATGACATCCCCCCCATATTAAAATATAGTTTTAATGTTGCATCATGTTGGCTATCTATCTGAATTAAATTAATCACATATTATTAGCTGAAGAGTGTGATCTTCCTGTTTTAATTAACAATATTTCATACAGCAGTAGCAGCATCTCTTGTTTTTTTAATGGAAGCACAGCCATTCTTAGTCTTAATATCAAGCACAGCCATTCTTAGTCTTATCCCTGCCTATTTCTTCTTGAAAAACATTCAGAGGCACTGTAAGCAATGAAGAAAGATGTGGGTGGTTTAGGAGGAACGAAAGAAATAGTGGGCATACAATTGAATTTCGTTCTTCTTGTCTTACTCTTTGCCCAGCTGTATATAGTAAGTTAGTAGTACGTGTCTCTTCTTATTCCTATGAAAGTAGACTTTGTTCTCTGGAGACTGCTAATCATGCCCCATGGGGGTGTAATCAGTTATAAGGTATTTAATATGTGCAGGCAGGAACAGGCTGCCTGGCCAGGCTGTAAGATTGCAACACTACAATTATAAAGGGCCCCTTTCCCTAGCTCTGCCCGCCCACCAGTGGCAGGATGAGGGCCATGCCCTGAGATGTTGTAAAATATACAAAAGAATAAATGTGGGTGGGAGCAGGTGAGCTGCAGAAACACCTCCTCTGGGTCTATTACTTTCCTGATCATCTGAATTCTGGGTGAATTGCTGCCTTCATAGGCGAGGCAGCTGAGGCTTATGAATCAGGAAGTGGATTACTGGTAGAAGGGCTTCTCCCTTTTCTTCTGGCTTTCCCCCCTCTGACGTGTGCTTGTAATTGGGGAGAAGCATTTTGGTACGATATGTTGCTTCCGAGTCACTTGGGGAGTGAATGTGACCATCCTACAAACTTCTTGTCCCCTGCCTTAATACAAGTAAGGTGGTGCCATAGTGTTCCTGTTCTGAACCTCTTTCCCTGATAGTCCTCGAACTGGGGAAAAAGTGTTTTCCAGAGTGATTGCTGAAGAATGTGAAGTAGTTGTCTTGGAATACACAAAGTCATGAACTGATGGTGTTTACCTTGTCAATGTGTTCCAGCCTGCTCCTACTCTTTACGGCAGTGTTTCCCAAACTTGACAATTTTAAGGCATGAGGACTTCAACTCCCAGAATTCCACAGCCAGCAACGCTGGCTGTGGAATTCTGGGAGTTGAAGTCCACATGCCTTAAAATTGTCAAGTTTGGGAAACACTGCTTTAAGGCATTCCAATTTAGATTTCCTACATGTAAAAGGACTTGTGTCATTAATTTCCTACTACAGGGTCATTTCACGTCAGTCCTGTCTTAAGTACAGGGTCTTTGATGAAAGAAACAATAACCCACAATCAGTATTTCAAATCCACATGCTTAAAAATAGAACATGTATGAGGAAAATGGAGGGGGGTGTTTGCTGTTCAGCTTTATTTGAGTTTGTCAGAGAGAGAGGTAGTGGCTCTTTCTGAAATAAAGTTTCCTGTTTCAGTAATGCCCTTTTATTGTGTATTATTAGTGCAACCAACATTATTCTGTGTATCGTGGACAGCTGTTTGTACTTGGAAAAAAAATGGTAACCATTCATTTATAATGGAGTTATATGCTATTATTCTATGAGGGCACCCGTGTCAAAATAATACAGTTGGTTTTTCAGACATGCTAGTTGTCCTCATGAAAAATAATGAAGGATATCAAAGTATTCATTTTTATAACTAGGCAAAGGACACAAGGGTATTTGTGGGAACACTACTCCCTGAGACTATTTGCCCGCTACACTAGGCTAGATAGGGTGGGCACTTTCCTGGTCTTGTTCTTTAAATGTTGCCATGTTGCCCAGGAATTGTGCTTTTTCTGTACCAACCCTTGGTTGTGGAGCTCCCTTTCTCCTGGGATTGAAAATGGTCACCCATATCCTAGTCTCCACATCACCAATATTGGTAGTCCTCGAGTTACAAGTGTAATGGAGCCTGCCCGTTGCATTCGTAACTTGAAAACTCGTAGATTGAATCTCATACCTCGAACGAGATCACTCCCTTGCTCATTAAAATGCATGTGGCTCCTTAAACAAACATGAGTTATCTCAGGGTGGGGAAGGCCATGGAGGGCCTAGTGATAGAACAGGTCCCTAATGCCTCCCTGACCCACTAAGATATTGCATGCTTCCCCCTCCCTTCCTGCCACCCTGGACTCAACTGGAAAAGATCCGTCTCCTCTCTGCTGTGATTCCTGCTACTGCCCGTATCTGAGGCCGGCAAACGCTTCTGTGCCCCTCTGTGGCCCGATTGGACCTGGAAACTGTCTCTGGGTTCCGGATCAGGCCAAGGGGTGCACAGAAGCGTCCTCCAGCCTCAGATCTGAGCCGCAGAAGCCTGGAAAAGGCCTCTGGAGCCCGGATCGGGCCGTGGGAGGTGCAGAAGCATTCCCCGGCCTCAGACCCAGGCTGCAGCGGCCTGGAAAGGCCTCTGGAACCCCGATCCAGCCTCCGGAGGCACGTGGGAATGTCCCCCAACTTCATTTCCATTCTCTGTTGCAGAGAACAGAGGCCTAAAGTACCATGAGATCATGCAAGATCAGTAGCGGGAGATCTCGCCCCACTGATCTCGTGTGATCTTGCATTACTTTAGGCCTCTATTCTCTGCAAACGCAGCCAAGAAAGCAAAGGATCTCGTTCTTCGCAGGGTGAGTATCGAAGGCCTGATGCCTAGGGAGACCCGGGGCAATGGTGGGGAGGGAGGGAATAACCAGGGTGAATGTTGCAGAGCCATTGCGGTCGCTCATAAGGGTGAACAACTGTCATGGTGCTGCAATATTTGTAGTTTCGGGACTTGCTCATAAGCACTAGGGGGCGCTTGTGTAATTTCGAACGAGCATTAAGTGAACACTTGTAACTCGGGGTTACCTGTACTCTAACCTTCACTATGTATTTGTTGTTGTTAATTGTGAAGTTGTGTCCGACCCATCACCTCCATCTTGTGCAGCTGGATTGATGAAGAGTATATAGACTTCATATTGTATTAAATATCTGAAATATTTGATTTTGTACTTAATATTTCTGATAGTGATGAGCATAAGCAGAGGAGGTATTGGATTAGTCTATATTGACTTGAGGTTGTCTGTTTAGGCAGTTGAAGTAGAAGAAGAGAGCATATATCAGACTTGGTGAAAGCACAATTCCTAAGAATAAAAAATATATACTGATGGCTTATTGGATTTTTCTTTCTTTGTGAATTAAGTCAATAACAAAACTTGTGAACAAAACCTGTGCTTGGGTGAAGGAAGAGAACTTCCTTCATATTCCTCAAAACAAAACTGCTCTTGGCTCAAAATGTTAAAATCCTAGGTATATTTTTTGTTTCTTCAACATCTTTTTTTTTCTTGTTCCTTTTAAATTCTCCTTTCATCTCCTTTCTTTATTTTATGCCAACACAGATGTTGGTAGCTCCAGTGCTTTCCTCAGTTCATGACTGGTGGACATCTATAGCTGGTATATTTCAAGGTGGTAGGGAGGACACGTGGGCTTGGCTGCTTGTTTTTGTTCTGTGCCTTTCGTGGAATGCAGTGTGTTTGCCTTTCTTGGCCTGTGGTTTAAGCCTGCATTCCTGTGTATAGAGTCAGCATGGCGGCAGGCGGCGTGCTGTTCGTGCCCTACAGCTACATGGTTTCAGCTCCACATCAAAGGTGTGTTTAGTGCGTAGCTTGTGCCATTCCTGGCCACACCTGGTGGCCTGCAGGCATGCAAGTAGGAGGGTTCAGAGATGCAATTGCAGACTACGATGTTTAAACTCAGGCTTCTCCATACTTGTGAAATCAGAAGAGTTGAATTTACATTAAACAACCAAAACAAGTTAAATTCAGCAGGAAGAAACAGTCTTTCTAAAGGCCAGCCCAATGAGCAATATCACCTAACCACCTCTAGTGAAAAAGAAATAGTGTTTTCTCTCCCTAAATTGGCTTAAGATCATTTGAGGAGACTTTTCTTCCATGCATTGGCATACTATTAGTCAAGTGCCTGCTGATGGACTATCTGCTACATTTCTCAAACGGTACCCTGTACAAAATGATGTTGAAATAGGATGCATTCTGACAGTAAGACTATTTTGCATATCCAGAGAATGACTTCATTCCTTGGTTCAGATGTTTGGGTCTTGTCAGGCTACATAATATAAGAAGATCATGACAGCCCTCTCACATTCCTCACATTTGAGGAATGTGAGAGGGAGTTGTCTTTTCCTAAAATATTATTCTCAGCTAAGTTTCCTCCGTTATATTTTTTGTTTTAACAGATGGATATACCAGACATGATTTACTGTATTTAAAATTAAATACAATATCTAAAATCAAAACACATATATTTTAACATTTTGGAAGTGCTTGCTTTCTCTGAAATAGGTGAAAAGGTGACCAATTTCTTCTCCTTGAAAAGGTCCTTCTTGTATTTGGTATAGACCACAACATTGTGATCAAGATTAATAACTGCGTCAAGATTTACAGAGACTGTAACCTAATCTTTTCTACTAAGATCCACCAGTGTTCATTGCACCACAGGTGAATTTAAAGTGATGGAAGTTTAGGATCATTGTGCAATATAAATAGCTTCTGTGGGATTATAATGTAATTTGATATAAGAAATATTTTTGAAGCTGTGTCAAGAACTGTATGTAAGATGCCTGGTGGTTAATACCCGAAAGAGTGGATCCAGGGTTTTTACTGGGGTTGTAAGACTTCGGGATATACTTGTAGTAGTAGACTGTCTGTGTTTTAATGCATAATGAAGTAGAATGGTATCTGTGTTCTCTGTTCTCATTGACATTCTCTGTCTTGCTTGGGATGAGGATAAATTATGCAGAAATTCATGAAACCATCTCTTTAGATAGATTTATTAATAATGAGTAGCTAGGGCAGGGGTAGGCAACCGTGGCTCTTTTATGACTCGTGGACTTCAACTCCCAGGATTCCTCAGCCAGCATGGCTGGCTCAGGAATTCTGGGAGTTGAAGTCCACGAGTCATAAAAGAGCCAAGGTTGCCTACCACTGGGCTAGGGGCTTGATCTATTTAAAACTGCCTTGGGATGTATGAAGCCATGTAACAGTAGCACTGCTTTTTTTGCTGGTACTAAAGCACCCTCTCCTGGGGAAAAATTCATATGACACATCTATTTCATTGCCAGCACAGATTGGTTAACATGGGATCAAACTACACATTATGGGCAGTTTTATCTGCTTCTGTTTCTTTTTAAAAACTGCAAAACAGCCACTGAAGCTGCCATCAGGCCATGTAGCACTCTCCAGCTCATCATAGAAAAACAACCATCTCTTTTTTCTGTTAAGGATGTCTACTATTTTCTGTTTCTTATTGTGTCTCAAATACTACTTTTCATTTTAAAGAATAGTTGCTGCCTGTGATTTAAGTGGATTTTCATATGTTTGGCAGAGCTGGTCTTCATTAGCTAAAAAAATTAGTTACCATAATCATAGTTTGATTTTTGTCTTGAACAAAAGCTATAGAACTTGACTATGTTGTAGTCAAGTTCTATAGCTAGTTGTAAGTGTTGGAACTAGAGTATAAATGCCATTATTGCATCTTGCCTTATAAAATATGTCCAGTATTCACAGGACTGACTTGAACTGCTTTATGTCAACTTTGTGCCGACTTATATAAATAATCTACGTCTTTTTTCTTCTCCCAGGCTGTGAGTTCTCTGTGTGGAGACTGCTATTAAAACCAGTAAGTACAGGCCAATTTACTTACTTAACAATTTCAGTGAATCTTAAATTTATCTGGTTGTGCTTTCGATATGTTATGCAGCATTATTATTGTCAAAATTGTCTCTGAAGAAAATTTTTCAGGAGAAGAGAACCATTTACCTAGTTTGCATATAACTGTAAAGAGGGTTTGTTTTGCCAAATTCTTTTATAAACTTCTGCTGTAAAAACTGCCTCTGTTTGTAGCCGGTTAGCCAGATGTTTAACTTCCTGCTGTTGCATGTTTTTTCCCCATAGTTGTGCAGCAACATGATGAACCTATTTTGGAGGCACATATGTTGTTTTTGGAAACAGAGTGCATGTGCTTGTGCACGTGTTTGTAGCATTTATAAAGGGTTTCGGGATGGAGAGTGCTTAACAAATCTTAAACAATAATTCTTAGGGAAATAAAATGCTTCTTAGAAATGGGAGGAACCAAATATGGGAAACAAAAGAGCTGCCTAGAGTTGCTTTCAATGGCCAATGGGCAGCATATAAATTTAATAAATAAATAAACATAGGCATTTCAAAAATATTTTTGTTTTAAAAAAAACCTCTTCATTTGCAAGCAGCTTAGTATAGTTTCTTTTAAATGATAAATTTGGTAACTATTCAGTAAGATTTAGGAAATTTCTGTTTGGTTATTCTCTTTTTAATAGTCTCATCTCTTTAGCTAGGCTCCCTTAGGTAACTAATTATTTAGATGTTGTGTAATGATTATTAAATATTCTGAAATGTTGTCATAATTCCCAGAAATAGTGTAATGTGGGTTAAATCTAGAAGAGAGGAAAATCAATACAGTAGAACTCAGCACAACTATATTAATTTATCTATTTGCAGCATGTAGCTAAGAGTATGAAAAAAGCTAAACACAATTAAAGTAGTTCTTAAAATTTGATTTTTAATCTGAAGTTTAAACTATATACTGAGGTTTACATTATATTTTGAAAAGGCAGTCCTCTTTACAGTATTAACTGTCTTCTGTAATTTTTAGCCTGAACTAGTTCAACTATTTGTGAAAATCAGTTACGATTTTAAGCTTTATAAACTTGTTTCTGAAATCCATTCATGTGGCAAGAATTAGTAGCCCCATTCTGAAAGTTCATGTTCATTTTATTGCAAATCAAGTTGAACTGCCATGATTGTTGCCAGAATCACGAAGTAGTAAACTGATGAAAACATTTGCATAATTGTTATTTATTTATTTATTATTATAGATGTCCCATTCTAAAAGATTCTAGGCAGCTTACAACATTATATATATAGCTAAAATAATTAAAAACATACCCACAAAATGTATAATGTCTTGGATACAAGCAGCCATTAACAGTTATATACATATAAAAAAGCTCCACTAACATACCAAAACCAAGCCTGGAAACAATGATATCTGGATGTCTTTTGTCCCAAGGCTAAAATTTATTCAAGGGAAACAGGCTATAAAAGGAAGCTGAGATTCTTGCCTGTAGCATGGTCATCAAGTTTTAGGTCCACCTGGAATTTTTTTTTTAAATGTGAATGATAATTTCAGATTTCCAATACCCTGTTGAATTGTAGCTTGCGAGTTCTGTTTACTTCTCCTTAGAAAATATGAATTAGAGTAGTTCTAATTCCTGCATGTTATTATAATTCTTTGTGTGTCAGGCTGATTAGTAACTCATGCAGAATTTCATTTCTCAAGTTTCAGGAGCCTTCAGCCAGTTGGATGCAGTTAGGAGACTGCTTTCAAAGTCATGTGGACAAACATGTTTGGACAGGACATTACTTTAGGTCTGTAAATATCTTTATTTTATGAGAGGTCTATTCAGGGATCTTATAACTTTTTGTACTGATCTTACAATTGTGCCCCAAAAGCTTTATTTTGGATGGGATTGGTGAAGATAGGACTAAAGCAAACAATTGTTTAGTATAACAGTTTAAAGGGATTAATAGAAAACTTTTTAAAAAGTAATAGATATTAGAGGTTGCTAGTGAATAGAGTCTTTGGAGGTTTTTATTGTTGCTATTATTGTTTTAAACTTCAGAATCCTTTGTCAAGTGAGAAAAATTTGGAATTACGTAAGAAATACTTTTTCTCATTCTTATAATTTTTATATATTATATATTTTATATACGTATAACTTCCAGCATTTGCTGCTATAACCTAATGTAATCCAGAAAGAAGGAAAAGAGTTATGCAGGGCTGTGGAATTTGTTTTGGTGATCGTTGGAAATAATAACATCCTTGGGCTTCAAGGAATCCTTTTTAGGAATTCAAACTTCATCCCTTATCTTCAATAAGAGTACCCTAGGCAAGGTATTTACAAGCACATTACAACTGATTGCACAATACAGAGAAATTCAACAAATGAATAAATAAGGCAACAGCAACAGTGTAACAGGAAGCACCAGCAATAGAGAAGAAACTAACACAATTCAATGTTTTAAAGTATTTGGGAAAATAGCTAGTCGTTTGCCAGGCACTGAAATGACATATGAAACCAGAGAAGCACTAGCAGAAAGCTCTTTCTGGGATTGCTTATTCCCTAAACCCAGAAGGGGAAAGCATCCCCAAAGGGCCCCCAATTAAAATATTTTTAAATGATTAATTTTATATATGTATGTGTGTACTTAAGGTAACAGCCAAAAAAAGACATAAGTTATTCTACATCGACACTTCCATGTTTCTTATGACAACTGATGCAAAAATCCTCCTTTTCTGTTCATCAAAGGTCTGCCTAAAGATACAGTATGCATTAGAAGGGTTTTTTTTTTAATTCCCCAAAATGTTGCTTTGAGGTTGTTGAATTATATATTGACAAAAGTAGTAACTTTCTTTCTATTAATCCTAGGCACCATATTCTCTCAGTGCAATTCCTTAATGGAACAATTCCCCTCATATTTCCAACAGGTAGCAGTTTTTATATGTGCTGCTCTTAGCATAAAACACACTAAGTTCATACACATTATGAAATTGTTAAAACATCAAGGGGTGGCGATAATGCTGCAATTCCCTGAACATCCTGGCCTATAATGCCTAAGATTATATTCTGTACTTGATCCCCAGATTGCTATATTTCAGGACACTTAAGCCACATATATAAATATAAATCCCCTCTTCAGTGCAGGAGAGACCTGATAGAATATATAGTGTAATAGTGGAGGCAATATCATTAATTAATATTTTGGATTGCATATTCTTCCTGTTTTTTAATTTGAATTTATAAGGGGTGTGTGTAGAAGCAGGTATTTTCCCCAAGGTGAATTTAAATGTGCCTGCCCTAATTTATTTCCCATATGCTTTTACAGTAAATACTATTCTGTACTGTGTTTCCACTTGTATATTATAGATACCAGGCCTTTAGTTCCTTTTGAAAGAGAGACACAATAAATCTCAAAGATACTTGGCATTTTATGCAAAGTTTTGTCCTGAATGATGATTTTTAAGGAAAAACCATTCATATTTCTGTTGAACAGATTTGTGATACCCATTTGAATCATCAGAAAAGGAAGCTCTATAGATGCAATCATGTATAAGTAAGGTGAACAAATATTTTTGCCCATGGGCACCAAGCCTATGGAAAAGCCAGATAAAGCTGGCTCAGGAATTCTGGGAGTTGAAGTCCATGAGTCATAAAAGAGCCAAGGTTGCCTACCCCTGAATTTATTTGATGGAAACAAATTGCTTTATAAGAAGCTATTCTCAAAGAAAATTAGAGATTTTGAATTCCTTAGTTTTAATAGCTTAATGCCATTTTTAGTTTTTATTTTGCTAAATCTAGTTTTTTTTTATTATTGTAGATACATTTTTATTACTTTTTTCATTTTATTAAGGGTGTTTGACAGCATTTGAAATAAGACAACAGGTGGTGATTTAAAGGAGAGAGTCTAATCAAGAAGTAGTGACTTAATTTTTTCCCCAGTTTCTTACCATTTTAATTCTTTGAATTAAATGATAATATGTTTTTGCATTTCAGATTTATTTTTTAGTCAATGCATCCAAAAGATTAAAAAGTCTAAGTGGTGCAATGGGGCAAAATTTTTAACTTTTTCCTGTTTCTCCAGCCAAGTATTTAATTTAAAATATCCTGAGTTTTCTGGTTTTTTATATAAACCTAATTACTCATGGAAGTATCCAATATCCAACAGCTGCTCAGAATTACTTGACAGCGAGATGGGTAGCATAAATTTAATAAATAATTTTTAAAAAAACTTAGAGGGGCTAAAAGTCTTAAATATAAAAAGCAATTTATATGTATGGTTCATTTGTTTTTGTATTGATTATTTGTTTAACTTATTTCTTTTTATTTTCATTGCTGCTTTTATTAAACTAGCTAGTGATCCAGTTGGAAGGAAAAGAATCCTTTTCTCTATTCCCCTAAACAGACTAAACTTTTTGACGTCCTGTTATTTCCCTAAACAATGGCTTTTGAGCTGCTTATATTTGAATTAAGAACACTCATAAAGGATTTTCAGACTGTAGCTTTTTATAGCAATAATATCAGCTTAAGTCATCAAAAGCTTTGAAAGCATACAGTACTAACAAGAGTACAAACATTTTCTTTTGACTACAAAATAAAATTTTATTTAATGTTCTTTTTGCAAAAATTGTATGATGAATCCTGACATGACCTTTATATCATTTGTGATTATTCTCTTTGCATTATAAAATCATTTCCATTTTAGTTCAACAAGACTATTTTTTTCTAGTTTAACAAGACTGTTGACATAGATAGGCATTATACCAGGGATCGAAGGACTTACTGGAGAAGACCCTAATGCTGGGAAAGATTGAGGGCAACAGAAGAAGGGGACAACAGAGAATGAGGTGGCTGGATGGAGTCACTGAAGCAGTAGGTGTGAGCTTAAATGGACTCCAGAAGATAGTAGAGGACAGGAAGGCCTGGAGGAACATTGTCCATGGGGTCGCGATGGGTCGGACACGACTTCGCAACTAACAACAACAATACCAGGGATGGCTTTTTGGTACATCTCTGCTGAGCTGTAAAATTAATTGGCAGCATTTTGATTGGCAGATGTCAAGGAGTGGCTTGAATTATTACACAAACAATAAACAAACAAATGAACCTTATTTAAAAGAGAGTAAAGGTAGCTTCTCAGTGAAATAAATTCCCTGTCAATCACATACTTTAGAATATAGGCTAATTCTTCACTGATCCCAGAGATTTAAACTAGCAGAATAGGAAAATGGTGCCATGTGTTGCTATTTTGCTTAGTTTAAATGCTAGGAATGAAAGACAGTATGGCACCTTGCATGATATGATAACAGAATAACCAAGATCATGATTTTTTTTCCTTCTAGAACCAATTTAAGTCCTTTAAGTAGGATTAAAATCATTGCATTAAATTTAAAGTTAAAAGAAAAACCAAATACCATGCCAAATGCACTGATTGACCAATCTTTGTTATTTGTACAATAAAAACCATACAACTAGCCCTACTATCAACTTGTTTAGTATATATTAAACAAAATTCAGTGAAGGCTAACTTGTTTCCCTATGATAGATAGACTGGGAAATCCACCAGCTATTAGAAGAAGCTCCACTGCACAGTATAGATATAATGGTGATAAATAATATAATATTAGTGGAAATCATATCTTGTAGCAAAGGTTTGATAATAACCTTTAATACATTGGTTTTCACTTGGGCTTTTCTACCACTTGCATTTACTTTGTTTCCAGACATTTCCGTAATAGATCAAGAAGTTAATAATAATCCTCATAAAATGGCTTTTCACAATGTGTTTTAAGATTTGCTAATAAATAATTAGGAATTATTTATAGTCTATTAATCTCAGGGGCTACTCACACCATGAAGTATAGAAAATCCTGGCAGATATAAACTGAGATTTAGAGAAGGAATTAACCAGAATAGTTTTTATATCTGCTTTCCTCCTCATACATAAGATAGATCTCTTGTTTCATTTTAAAACAAGATATTGAGAAAGTTTTTCTTTACTTCTATGGAATTGCAAAACATAGCAAGTCCTTTTTTGAGCTGCTCTTCCCCCAGCTGTGCTATTGTGAGATTATTTATTCTGTACTCATTGAGGCCCAAAAAAACACTGTAGTAAGGAAAGGGGCCAACAAACTTGTTGGGGCAAGGCCAACAGCAGGGCAACTATAAGACTTGTTTCAGCAGCTTTCTAGCCTAGTACAAACCTTGCTGACTTCCTGTTCTATTAATTTTGGAGCTTTAGGTCTTTCTAGTTAATCTTTTCAGTGTCATTTGCAAATGTACCATATTTAAGTTTGGAGCAAATGTTATTGATAAATAACATTTTTAGAATACAATGTATGGCAGTTCTAAGCTATTATTTGTGCAGATTGCTTTCAAGGTCTTTGGATACACGGCAAGGAAGATGGGAAGATTGTACCTCAAAACCTCAATTTTTTTTTTTAAAAAAAATAAGAAATGGCATCACAAGTGGTCTTTGATGGGAGACCACCCCTTAAAACTTGATCCATATTTTATGCAATAAAATGCTTGAACATCACCACACTGTATAACTCCTCCCCCCCAAAAAAAAACCCAAACAAAAAAGTTTGAAAATGAAATCTTTACTTTAGGCATCTCAGAATATAATTTTCCCTTCTTATTTTGTTGATGTGTAAAGGCTTATTTTCCACTCTGGTCATATTCATGGCTGGATATAGTTTGGTCTCAATCACAGCTTAATTTTGTAAGATATTTCCTTATCTTCCAGTTGTAACAAACATTAAACTTTGCAAAATGAAGGAACCCTTAAAGTCCTGTTTGGATCACAGAATATTTCCGGTCATGAGTAAAGTACTTTAGATCAGAGGGTGTTCTGCTACTTCAATGTTGGGAGTGCTTTAAAACGACAGAAGTGCAGGTTCCTCAAGCTGGAACATTTGAGGTAGAGGAGTTGTTTTTTCCCCCAATTCTTAGATCCTTGGATTGAGTGCCTTTTTCAGACTTCAGATCAGAACCCAGATTGGTAGGTATTTCAGTGTATCCATTACATAGCTATGAGCATTGCCTATAAGTCTCGTATAACCTGAGGATTGCACCTCTGTACGTAAGATTCCATTTCAGTTATTTCTTCAAGGAGGCTTCATGTTGTTCCTGATATGAGGGAGATGAACCAAAGAAGCTACATTGTACTAGATCACAGTATTTGTTCAGCTAACTCAGAGCCCTCTTATCTCCATTATTGTCTATATTAATTTCAGCTATTCCAGTACTGTATTTCCTATCATGGGCGGCTGATCCTTTTAATTGGTGAGTGCATCATAGACTAAAAAGTATGTGATCTTATTACTAAACCAGGATCCTTCCTACTATGTGAAATATTGACATGGAGAAAGGCTTTCTCAAGACAGACTTCAGATACCAAGAGTCATCGCTTTTGTGACTCTCATAATGCAAATCCTTGTTAAGTTTTAGAAAAATGCTATGTATAAGATATGTTTTTTTCAATTATACTTTAAAGAGTGAATTTATAGCCATTTTAATTATATGAAATTTCTAACAATTTGTGAATAAAATAAAATCTTTGTTTTTTAAATAGTGGAATTAAAAGATGGGAGAAATAGCCCAAAGTTTTTTTTCATTCTTCTCAAATTCTTATGGATCGTCAGCTTCTTGTGGAAAAATAAAAGCCTTAAAAAATAAAAGACTTTTACGAATTCCAAGGGTGAAAGAGAGGTTTATTTTTGTGCAAAGGTTCAGACGTGATTTACAATCAGCAAATTTCTGAACAAGGGGGAGGGTCTAAACTAAAGCTTTATAGGTTTCTTTTTCTCAGGAACAAAGGAAGCATAGATGGAATCTTACATTATATATGGAATCTACTTTGTGTAACATTCAGATAGTTTCTCACACGTTAGGTCCATTTCTCATGGGAATACAATGAAGGCAGTTTTTACTTTTAAACAATGTTTCTAAATATGCATTAGGTCATTCATGTACTGTTAATACAGCTTTTTGCTAACACAGCTTTCTTCCAGAAATTATGCAGACACATGATTTTTGCTTTTAGTGATTTTTCATTATTATTATTATACTTTATTCTTCTTTATTCTATGTTATTCTATTTCTTTCCCACTTTAAGCTTACTAGTTTTCTCTCAGAGGCTGCTGCTAAGTTCAGTTTTCTTATGTTTATATAGTTACAATAAAATACTGTTTCTAATATACAGTAACATACCTTGGTTTATACAGGTATTTATGGAAACAGGGACAGAAGCAATAATATGGCTTCATTCACATTTCTGTTTAATTTGGAAGAGTCTAGATGCTACACAGAGTGAATTTTTTTGGAGATTCTGTGTTCCTTCCTATATCCTTTTTTACCTCTTGGTCTGCTTTAACCAAGCATTGCAACATGCCAGTTCTTGAGGATTGCAAAGCCCTTATGAGTACTAAATCTTATTGCATTGTTGGCTCAAGACATAAATTCCTTGTACAGGAGGAAATAGACAAGAAACTGCTTGTTTGCAAAGGAGATAAGCTCCTTTCTGCAAAGTGTTATCTGATTTACTATATTTGGGGTTTTTTTCAGCCTCTTCTGACCTTACTGATCTTTGCTATGAGCACTCCTTGTCAGTTTCTTAGAATGCTTTGCCTTTATTTTACAAGATAAGTATGTCAATCTTATCAATCATATTTATGCTATTAATTTCTATGTTAGTATGAACTGGAATAAGTGAGTTCTGCTTGTAGTTGTTATCAGTAAACAATTCTGTATTGCTCCTGGATGATGATAGTACACAGAATAACATCTATATACCCTTTAAGTGCAATATAGATAAATATACTATAGATAGAGATAGAAATAGAGATGATAGAGATAGGCTACTACATCCTTGAATACTCTGGGAAGATTATCATGGCCATACTGGCTTGAAGCCAGCCTGCCTGGTTTCCAAAGGGGAATAGATACACCTTGTCTTTGCTGACAAGCTTGTTGTGCCATCTGGTAGTACAGTAACTTAAATATTGTCTTTGCTATATCACAGATAGTGAAAGCCTAATTTAGCAGATCAGATACAAGATCTCTCTCTCTCTCTCTCTCTCTCTCTCTCTCTCTCTCTCTCTCTCTCTCTCTCTCTCTCTCTCTCTCTCTCTATCTCTCTATATATTATATATATATATATGTTTTCTGAGGTTTTTGCGGGTGTTTCTCTCTCTCTCTCTCTCTCTCTCTCTCTCTCTCTCTCTCTCTCTCTATATATATATATATATATATATATATATATATATATATATATATATATATATAGATATATATAGATATATATAGATATATATATATGTTTTCTGAGGTTTTTGCGGGTGTTTGTATGTAGGTCTTTGGTTATTCGGGTTTTCTCCCGCGTCAAATTGGAAGTGTCTTGGCGACGTTTCGACGAAGTCTCATTCGTCATCTTCAGGTTGGTGTTTTCGGCTTCGTGCTTCTAGGAACAATGTGTGATCATAACTGTTTCTTCCTTTTAACTGCCAGTGGGGGTATGAACTGATTGGATGAGAGCTTGGCTGTGTTCTGATTGGATGGAGGTGTGTTCTGATTGGATGGGGGGTTGGCTGTGCTCTGATTGGTTGGGGGAGTGTTCTGTTTGGGTGGGGCTTTGTTGTGCTCAGGTTAGTCTGAGTTGCAGGGGGATGTGAGATGGTGAGCTGCATTGCTATTGTTTGGCTTCGCGTTCGTGGTCGTGCCTCATCTTCACGGTGGGTGTCAGTTTGCTTCATGTATGGATTGGAGGGGTTTAAAGTGGCTAATGGTGCAGCTGTGGTCTGGCTTCTGGTTTGTGGTCGTACCTCATCATCGGTGTGGGTTTGGGTTTGCTTTTTTCGTGGACGTGTGGTGGTGACATCCTGTGTGGCTTTCGTGAGTGTGGGTCTGGTGTCATTCTTTGTGTTAGGGACTCGTTTTTCAATAAGGGTGGGTTTCCAAATGGCTGGTAGGCAGGAGGTATCATCTCGTTTGTTCATGCTGTGTGGGCGTTTTTCTATCTCGATGGCTTCTCTGATTATTCTGTTATTAAAGTGTTCAGTTTTGGCGATAGTTCTGGTCTTTTTAAAGTCATTTTCATGTCCTGTGATTTTAAGGTGTTGGACCAGGGAAGAAGTTGATTCCTCTTTTTTGACTGAGTTTTTGAGAGTAGGTTAAAACGTCGCCAAAATACTCTTAATCTTACACGGGAAAAGACCCAAATATACGGGGGGAATTGATTTATCATTTGTAGATGAACTGTACTGCTGCATAGGTGAAGCCTATCCTGCTGTATGCTTTCTGCAATTTACATGTTTGCTGTATGATAGTACTTATTTTTAGTGCATTGTATGGATGCAGGGCTATTTTTATTATACTTGTTGATCATTACTCTGATATCTATTGTATGAATGACCAAGTTCAGTTTTAGAACTGCCTGCCTTTTTCATTTAGGATCTGTTTTTGGCTTTGCCCTTGGCTTTTGAGGAATAATTAACAGTGGATGTTTCTTTGGGCTGTATGTGTCCTTCTCTCATTCAAAAATAATTTGCCTTTAATTGATTCAAGCATACAATTATTCCAGCTTGTTTTATATTTAATATCTGCAGCTTATTCTCTGTTGTCATTGTTGGCTCTGACAGCATGAGATCAATAGCTCCTGTCTAGTTTGTCACTGTTGCTTGTAACATTTTTGGCCTTTCCTAAAGAGCCCAATCAATATTTTGCTCCAAGGTTTGTTCTCATATGCTATATATAATCTGGACACGTGCCATGTGTGTGTGTATGAATGTGGACATCGCACGCAGAGAGAGGATGAACCTGCTTTTGCGCTCACTAGCTGGACTGACACTGCTGTGTTTTTTCTTCTGCTCTTTCTTTATAATGCAGTTACTATTCCCACACTCTGGCCTGCTTGTTTCCTCTGTTCTCGGATTATGTGGCTATTGTGAATCAGCAGATTTTTTATTATCTCGCGAAAACATACTTGGCTTTCTGGGACATCTATGACTTTTTTTATAATTTCTGCTGTTGGCAGGTGACCTGTGGTAAAAATCAAGCAAGAAGGACAATGACAAGCACAGTACCTTCCAAGAAGCCTTACCGTAAGGCTCCACCACAACATCGTGAGATTCATCATGAGCTGCCCATTCTGTGTGATGAATATGATGGTGTGATTTTGGCAGAGCAGAATCAGGTAACTGAAATCAAGGCAGTTAAGGATCTGGTGTATCTGCAGAAGGGGTTCAGCTGTATCAGGACAGATAACCTTAAACAGCAGGTGGATGGGTATGATGAGATTTGCAATGTTAACTTTCCTTCCTTGTCTTTGGAATCAAGTAGTGACAAGAAAGTAGCAGGATGCCAAGCAGAACTAAACCTGAAGAGTTGGAATCTGTCTTCTGCCGTACTTCCCAGCTGGAAAGTAGAGAAACAGAGTATGAAATACTCTCAGTATCCTAGCCAAAGGTGGCTCAGTAAGTTCATGTGCCAGAGTGTGGAGACGTTAATGGCTTCTGGGGATGAAGGCCAAAAGCCAATCTGCTCCTTGAAAAGTAGAAGTTTACAACGTTCTCTTATGTTCAAAGAACCTGCTGAGGTACTGGCACCAAGGAAAATCCATATTCCAACCACTCACCTTCCTCTCAAAGGCATCTTGAAGCAGACAAAGATGCTGAATGTGCAGCCTCAAAACTTGGGAACATTCAACTCAGTAGAAACCCTGACCCAAAGCCACCAATCACAACAGTATAATGACCCTCAACCTTGCCTCAAGAGTCATGATAGGCATGCATCAGAATGCCACAATATTAGCTCTTCGGAGTTTGGCCGACAAAAAGACAAAAAAAGACAGTTCTCAAAGTTCCTGGATGAGATCACCCACAGAGTCCTGAGTCCTGTCTATTTGCCTTCTGGGGATGAAGATAGTGGAGAAGAAAGAATCCAGAAGTCTTTCACAGTTTCTAAATGTTCCACACAAAAAGGGCAGAAAGAAAGCCTGCTTGAGAGCACTAAGCAGATCACTAAGAAAAGCCCTTGTCTAGTTAAGAGAAGAGAAGAATGGAGGCGAGAGGGCCTTGAAATAATATTCTGCAATAGGAAGCCTCCAGAGGAGATGGACAGGACACCTAGACAAAGGAGAAAGCTTGCTCTAGTGAGGAAGGACAGCACAGAGAAGCTTTGGTCTGTGGAGAAAGAGGTGGTGGATTTGTGTCAATATCAGTTGCAGTACCTAGTGGAATTGAGTTTGTCAACAGTATCTTTTAAGCAACAGCATCTATGCTCATGGAAAATATCTTAGCAGGTGGGAGGGATGGATACAAGGCAGGACCAAAGTGAATACTTGCTATGTACTTGCAGTCCACCTGGCCACGTGCCAATTTGAATTGAGGTTACCTGGAGGAGAAAAAGAGATCCTCTCCTCACTTGTGTTGGCAACAGGAGACTGGTAGTATACCACTTAGAATTTCTCTTTCTTTCAGCTTAGCTATGGACAAGGTAGGAGCTTAAAAAGAGGGGATAAGTAACCAGTTTTGCACTTAAACACATACTTGTTATAGCAATAAGCATCAGAAGGGGGCTTTTCCCTCATTCCTCAGTTGAGGACTTATTATCAAACTTTTTAGCCCTGTCTCTGTGGAAAGAGATAATTATGCAATAAGGAAACTCAGCCCATTTGCTTAAATGGGAACTTTCCAATCATATCCCTTTATGTTCAAATTTAGATTGCTTTGGTTTGTTTTTTTTCAAGGCATTTTTTCGTACCTTTATTGCCATGGTCCGTTTAGGGGACCTCTTTTGCATTAATTTGAATAGCAACACAATAAATCCTGCTGCTGTTGTTTGTTATCTGATTGCAAGATTGCAAAGTTATAGCTTAAAAGACTAAATGCATCTGCTGCCATTTACTTACTGGGTCAGACAGCCTAATAAATGCACAATTTCATCTAAGTGTTGTTCTTGAGATCTTCCATTCCTTTCTCTAAGGAAAAGGATTCTTAAGTTAAATGCTCTAACAGAAGATTCTCTAATTTCTGGTATCAGATTTAAGAAGATATGGGGACTTCTAAATGACTTTTTTTCTTGCGTTGTCATAGTTTTGTATGCCTGCTCTTTCTTACTATCTGATTGGTCACCTTTCCCTCTGATTCAAATGCTGTGAGAATAAAAGAATAAAAAGTGTGGAATAACTTTTTTGACAACTCTTTATGTGACAAATGTGACAAAAGTAGCAATGAGCAAGACGAGAAGGAGCAATTATCCCAAAGGTGCTTTTTCAAAAGACAACTGGACCTTGTTTTTCTTTGAAGTTGTTTTGCTTCTCATCCAAGAAACCTCTTCAGATCTGACAGAATGGTGGAGGATGGAAGGGTTTATATTTACATGCTCCACCATTCAGTCAGAATCGAAGAAGTTTCTTGGATGAGAAGTGAAACTTCTTCAAGGAAAAACAAAGAAAATCCATTTGCCTTTTGAAAAAGCACCTTTGGGACAACCATAACTTGGATGACTGAGAATCTCCATAGACAAAAGGAGCAACTGGAAACCATGATAGTTAAAAGTTAGGACTACTGAGGGTTTCTGATTCAGAGCTTTCCAAATCTCGAAAGATAATTATGAAGTAAAATTAAATAGAAATACTAAGTTATGACATTTGACCAATTGAGAACATCTGGATTCAAATTCCTATCAAACCATAACATTTAGAGGATGAATTTAGATGGTTTCATTTCTGCTGGCCTAAAATATCTTAAGTTTGTTGTGAAGACTATCCTTTCTGTAAAATGGAGTTGGTAAAGAATGTTCTAAGTCTTTGATGGCAATATCATTTATCTTAATTTTTTTTGTTGATAGGGTTGCTAGAGTAATGGGCACTGATTTATGGCACAACATAGCATTTTGCTAACTTTCTAAAACAACATAGTGACACATTGAATGTAGAATAGCTTGTGGTGTAAAAGGAAACAAACAAATGGAAAGCTTAAGTCAATCTGTGTTTTGACTTAATTAATTGCCATAAAACAATTCCTAAATACTATTTTGTATAATAACCTTTGTGATTGAGAGAACTGTTCAGAATACTCTGTGTTCTTAATTCAAATTGTCCTCCCTTCATAACCACAGTTGTGGCCTAATGTAAGCAGTTTCTCAAAAATATTTGTGGCTTCACCAGAAATCTGATGTTCAGATTGGTCTTTTTCTCTGGCGCCTGCTTGCACAAGTCCCTGCAGTTTTCTTGGCAAGATTTCAGACGTAGTTTGCCATTGTCTGCTTCCTGGGGCTGAGAGAGCGATTGGCTCAGCTGAGTTCATGCCTCAGGCAGGCGTAGAATGCAGAGTCTCCTGGTTTCAAGACTTGATACCTTCAACCACTACGCCGAATTGGCTCTTATTTTTTCCATTTAGCATTTGTATGGTTTAGTTCAGGGGTAGGCAACCTTGGCTCTCTTATGACTCGTGGACTTCAACTCCCAGAATTCCTGAGCCAGCATGGCTGGCTCAGGAACTCTGGGAGTTGAAGTCCACGAGTCATAAAAGAGCCAAGGTTGCCTACCCCTGGTTTAGTTTTGATATTCTGGTAACCTGTTCATATTTTTAATTAAACCTTGATTCTGTTTCCTTTTATTTATTTTTTTGTAGGAGCCCTTGACAGATGCAGATAGGATAAAGTAAGTATCCTGGACCTTTTTTGTTCCATAGTTGTTTGTAGTTCTTCTGTTTCAAGTTATATTATCTGTGCTTGTTTCCTGATGTTGTGGAATAGTGTTTTCCTCTGTTAACTTTTTAATATGCTTAAAAAGAACTAATGTTTAACTTTAACAGTCTGGCAAAAGTGATTGTTGTAGAGCTGATAATGGCTGACTTGAGCTTAAACTGCCAAAGCTGCTCTTCACAGAAACCCAGCTGTAGCGGTATTAAGTGAAAACTCCAGTGTTATCTCTGTCTTCGTGCTGCTATAATGGGCTAGTTTAAGAACAATATCCATTCTAAGTTTGATCATCTATTTATGTGGCTTGAAAATATTATTTTATGTTGTTTTTGGAAAATTTAGTGGGTAAAATATTTGCAGATGATAAGCCTATGATGAACTACACTAACGGAATGATTGAATCTTTGTAGAGCAGTGGTTCTCAACCTGCGGGTCGGGACCCCATTTGGGGTCGAACGACCATTTCACGGGGGTCGCCAAACAAGGCTGTCCGCCATTTTTTCCCCTTTTCTTTGGCCACGCCCCTGGCACCCGGTGATGTATAAGTGGTTGGGGGTCACCACAACATGGGGAACTGTATTATGGGGTCGCGGCATTAGAAAGGTTGAGAACCACTGTTGTAGAGGATGTCTACATAGATGTAAATGTACGGACATGGCAACATAACCCTCATGCATCAGTATTTCCAAAGCCAATATGTGAATATTGCTACATCTTCATCTAGAGCAGTGGTTCTCAACCTGTGGGTCGGGGCCCCATTTGGGGTCGAACGACCATTTCACGGGAGTCGCCAAACAATGCAGTCTGCCATTTTTTCCCCCTTTTCCTTAGCTGTGCTACTCCCTTTTATTCTATTGGCTTTTGAAAGCCAATAGACTAGACTCTCTTGAATAGAGTCTAATTCTATTGGCTTTCCAAAGCCAATAGGAATTGTCCAGGCTGTCTCTGCCCTGCTGAGCCTGCCAAAAGTCCCATTCTGCAAACGGTGCTGCACCAGTTGAGTAGTCCTCGACTTACGACCGGTTGGGGGGTCGCGGCATTAAAAAGGTTGAGAACCACTGATCTAGAGATTTATTTGATGACCTAGAAATGGATAGTTTTCTTAATACGAACACCCAAGTCAAGGTAAAAATGGGACGGTGATTTTCCTTCCCGCAACATTATTTGTTTTCCCTGGGAACACATAAATTATTGAGTGAGTTTCAACTTCCAGTGGAGGATACCTGAGCTATCTAGCCCCATCTGGCTGATATGCTTAATCTAAAGGCTGTAAACTAAGAAGGAGCTTCTTGCATAGGTGGGTGACCTACTTTTTCGAATTAAACTCCCCGTCTGTAGAGTAGTAGAGTAATGATCGAGCATGGAATTTTCCTTCCCTTCCCAAAGCAAGTTGCTCACATTTGCTCATGTCGGGTGCCCAGAAGGGCTTGCTCCTTAAAACAGTCTTGTGGGATTCTTCATTCTGTGCATTAGATTTACCTGATCTTGCACACTGTTTTTGATCCTAAATCTATCCCAAATTTTGTTCATCTTACTTTCTGGTCTGATAACATACTAGTTATTTTGAAAAATATCTTCAGCACTACCCAAATAGCAATAGCAATAGTGCTTAGCCTTATATACCACCCCCGTAGTGCTTTACAGCCCTCAGCATATTGCCCCCAATTATATGGGTCCTCATTTTACTGCCCTGGAAGAATGGAAGGCTGAGTCAGCTTACCCAAAGAGCTCCTGTGGCAAATAAAACCAGTCACAAAAATCTGCCTAGGAAAGCAATTGCTGCAAATCATATACTTTTGTATTTCACATTTTAGGAATTCTCTCCCTCTCCCTCCCTCCCTCCCTCCCTCCCTCCCTCCCTCCCTCTCCTCTCTCTCTCTCTCTCTCTCTCTCTCTCTCTCTCTCTCTCTCTCTCTCTCTCTCTCTCACACACACACACACACACACACACACACACACACACACATACACACACATTTTTAACCATCACAGACATACTAATATAATATTCCACTGACTACTGCCTTCTGACTTCCTTAGCTTAAGTAAGCCTAACATCATTACCTGGAAAGATGTTTGGGCAGATAGTAACCATTTTAAAGACAATACTGCAATTGTTACGCCAACCTTTTTATAAAACTAGGTCATGTGAAACAGATCTCATCTCCTTTGCAAGTCAATTATTTTAGCTGTCCATGCTGTGGATATAGCCTGCCTCAATTCCAGCAAGCCTTTTGACAAGATTCCATATGGCATTCATTGTGACAAGTATTAAAAAGTATAATTTGGATAGCACTGCATAAGATTGGTCTACACCAGATGGCCATCTGTGCTCAAGCAATCAGCTTGAAGGGTTCTACATCAGGTTACAAAGCAGTAACTACTGAAATCTATCTTGCAGTCAGTATTATTCTGCATTTTTATTAGAAATCTGGATAATGAGATCGATGGGCTGCTTACTAAATTTGTAGAGGACACAAAATTGGAAGATCTGGCTAAAATCCTGGGTGACTGAATAAGATTGCAGTCTAATTTGAACAAATTAGAAGGCTGGACTGAAAAGAAGCAAGTTGTTCTTCAAAAGGGAAAAATGTAAGTTATTATATTTAGGGAGGAAAAATACATGACATGCCTAAAAGATGAGTGTTGTTGGCTTGAAAGCACTATAAAGGAGAATGTGTGTATTCTTTGTCAACAAGCTAACAAGTTTTTGGAAGAGCATTATATCAAAGATGTGTGAAGTCCTTATTCCCCTCTACTACACACTTATGAGTCCACATCTGCAGTAGCATGTATGATTCTGGGACCACATTTCCAGAAAAGTTATTGATAATTTAGAATAGGTTCAAAGGAGAGTGACAAAGATGTTATAGAGACTAGAGTACAGACTGAAGGAACTTTGGATGTTCAACCAGAAAGAAAAAAGACTGAAGGGAGATATTAAAAGGTGCTATAGAGAAGATAATCAGGTGATATTTTCCATTGTCATAAAAATGGGAACCAAAAATAATGGTTACAGGTGTCAGCCTCTTGAAACTTGCGTAAATATAAGCACCAACTTTTGATAGTAAGATCTGACAAGCAGTGGAATGTTTTTCCTATGGAGGTTGTGGGTTTTCTGTTACTGGTTAGATTTTTAAGAGGACGTGGCTTCTTGAGGGTAATTTAATTGCTTTTCATGCATTTTGCAGAGGGTTGGACAAGATGATCATTGGGCCTTTCACTTCCATGATTCTGTGATTCCTTTCCTCGCTTACCAAATGATGGATTTCCCCTCCTTTGGTTTTGACTATCCTGTATAGGAAAATTTGAACTTGAAGCTATCAGTTTTCTATCCACAGGACTTTTGGATATTTTGTAGAAGTGACGATGGTTTGGGCGTCTTGGGCGTAGGATATAATTGGTCAGTTGTTCTAAGCAAATTTCAGTTTATATAGTGACAATTAATTGACAATTGAAGCTACATTTTGTGCGTTTATCTTGTTTCAACTTTCCAGATTCCAGGAATACAATTGAACTTCGCTCAGATGCACATTGATATATTGGCAGCGAAGCTTCCTGTAGTTTAATTGGAAATAAGTTGCTGATTTTTGTACCTTAGATTGTTGCAGCATGACAATGAGGAGCTACGTCGACGTTTGGCCTATGTCACCAACAAAATGGAAGCAATGGAGAGGGAGTTGGAGTCTGGGCAAGACTATCTGGAGATGGAATTGGGCCAAAATCGAGAAGAACTAGAAAAATTTAAAGACAAATTCCGTAGGTAGGTGACTTTTAGAACATCAGGTAGTGCTTAGCTCATTCTGCAATATATTTTAACATACTCTGCCATTTGTAGAAATACTGCAAATGAAGTCAGGGGAACCTTTGGCTTTCCAGGTGTTGTTCAGCTACAACTCTTAATAGCTCCTGGTTACTGTTCTTCATAGTAGTTGTTTAAGAACATCTGGAAAGCCAAAGACTTCTATATTCTCTTTAGATCATTATGTACAGGGAAATAGTTCTATATGAAATGTGTTTCCTGAGGTGTGCAGACACCACTTATAAAGCTGGATTTTTTTTCCCCTATAGCATTTTGGCTTGCTATTGGATAGCTTAGTGTTATGTAAGACCCATAGATTTACAGAGCTATATTGTAAGTATTGCATAGAGACTCTTTGGTCAGACTTTTTAATACCTTGGTTAATAACTGAAGACAGCCATAGGGAGCCAGAAACAGAGAACGAAATCAGCTTTACTGAATAGTGTGAAAGACATGCGCCCAATCAAAATGTCTCCCCATGACTCCCCAAGATGATGGCTATATTGTCTCATTTGGCGTTGAATCTTGAAATCAGTAATATCTGTTGGGATATATCACATTTTATTTGCATCTGTCTAGATCACCGTATCCCAATGTTGGCAACTTGGAGATGTGTGAACTTCAACTCCTAGAATTCCCCAGCCAGAATTCTAGAAGTCCACACATCTTCAAGCTGCCAGTGTTGAGAAACACTCATCTAGAGTTTTGATATGCCTATGAAAGTTGTTGACATAAGTCAGACATGGCAAACACAAGGCCCGGGGGCCGGATGCGGCCCGCAAAGTGGTTTCATGTGGCCCGCGAAGCCATCCTGGAAACAATGAGGGAACGGCCCCCGCTGCCTTGGCCCTGGCCCAGGCTGGCCGGGAGCCAATGTACTATTTTGTGGTGGCCATCTATGCTGAAATGCATTCAGTCTTAGCCCCACAAGGCCATCTGGAAACAGCGAGGAACCAGCCCCTGCTGTGTCGGCTCTACCCCGTGGGTGCATGCTGGGGAGGTGTCACCCTTTGTGAGGAATGAAGAAATGCATCATCACCTGGAAGTGGCCAGCAAATGGCCCTCGCCTATTTCACATATCTGGCTTGATGGGCTCTGCCCTGCCCCCCCCCTTTCTGCCAGAGATCCTCAGATCTGTTCCACTCCTGCCCAGGCCCCCACAGGCACCTTTGACGCAAATGATGAAGAGGTGACCGTGCCCACCCAGTAGGCCACACCTACTCCATCCACGTCCACTCAGCAGGCCGCACCCACCCTGGCCATACCCACCCGGCCCCCTGAGGGCAACCGCAATGCTGATGTGGCCCTCAATGAAATTGAGTTTGACACCCCTGACATAAGTGATGTTTTATAGGGGGAAAGGGTCCTTTCTCATTGCCTATCAATATTTATTAGGCCTGGATAGAGTAGTTTAGACCAAGCTGAGAATCCAGTTCTTAGAAAACACAGATAAGTCATGGATCACCAACTTAGAAACTGGGGCAATGGAGACAAATGTACAGTTACTAATATAGCAACTTCACAGATGGGGAGAAGATGAGGTGATGAAGAGAGAGACAGATAACTGTATTCTACCATACAGAATTGGGAGTGTTTTCTGAAAGCTTTATCATAGTATTCAGCATTTCTGCTTTTTTACTGGAGTGAATTTTGATCATCTTCTCTTATCAAACTTGTTCTCCCCCCGCAATTCATATACCCTCCCTCCAATTTTGTACCTCCTTTTTCAAGCTACCTGCAGATTAATGCAGGAGATGAAATACCTGAGCATGGCAAAGTTTAAGGCATGCAGTAAATACAATACCATACCACAGTCCATTGTATAATATATCATATCTGGTGGGCCTATTCAGTAACATGGGTACTCTTTTATATCTCAGACTGCAAAATAGTTACACAGCTTCACAAAGAACAAATCAGGATTTGGAGGAGAAGCTGCATGCCCTGGTAAGTGATTGTATGGCCTTGTAACGAGTAGAACGGACAGGTCTAAGTGTTTTAAAGATCTTAAAGGGTGCTAGTATTGTATAGTAATATTAAAATGCAATGAATCAAGATTTGGAGTAGAATTTCAGTCTAGAGTTGATGAAAATGGGCATTGCTTCCAAGTCTTGTGTTTTGTGCAACAGTATTTTGGGTTCTTCTGTAACACAGCTATTTGTAGTTTGTCCTGCAGCTTTTTAAAAGAGTCTTGGAGTCATTATGTGCTGCTTATTGCAGAATCTGGGTGGGATGGTTTTGTTATGAATTGTGGGGTGTCAAGAGTGGAGCCAACATTTGTATATTGTGTGCATTCATAACACTCATGGCTTTTTTTCTCTCCTTTCTCTCTCTCTTTCTCTCTTTGTTTCTTTCCTTCCTACGCTGCTGCTGGCACATGCTGGGTGTGCTCACCTCTCAGGCCTCTCTCAGTCAAAACTGGATTTTTGCAGTTGCGTCTTTTCGTTTGTGTGTTATTCTTTTCCTCTTCACATGTTTCAGCCTTTCCAGTTTCATTGTTGTCCATGCATTACTCAGCCCCACTTGCACTGTCTTTGATGGGATCCAGAGTCTGAATCAGCCAACAACTTGGGTTTGAATGAAATAGCTGATGTTTTCCTAGCATGACTTGCTCCATCCTATTTTATGGGATGTCATAGTTTGGGGGGGGGGGAATGCCATTTGTCTTCCCAAAAAATTAATCTACAAGCTTACACAGGATATAGTACTTTTTCTTATCATTGCAGAACTAGGAGCTGGGTAGTATAGTTCTCAGAAACTTCAATCACTATAACCAAAACTGAGGATTTCTCATTCTAGTACAAATACAGTATTAAATCATTATCATTTTAATCCAATATCAACACTTACGCTTCCCAAGACAGAATGGAGTGGGGACAAGTTCACGTGAAATACACACACATATACACATACCCCGGTATATATATTTCTGCAGGGCTGTGGGAATTCTGCATTTCTGAGTGGGCTTTAGAACAATAAGGCATTACTTTAAATGCAAAATGAATACTCTGAGAGTCAAATTTCATGGAAAGCACAAGTGGACAACTTTCAGTTGTATATTTTCCTGGTCCCTGACTCCCATCCTGACCACATTCCTTTACGATAAGTGCTTTGCTCAGTGGGTTTGCCATTGAGGCAGGAAACACATCATATAGTGTGAGCAGTAAAGTAGGCCTAAAGTAGTAAACAGATCTCAACATTCATTCCTCAAACCCAAGCCAGATCTCAGCTCCAATCACTTGCATCATCAATCCATCCCCCCCCCCCCCGCCTTCATTTTGCTCCAAAGGGTGGGTCTCAGCTGCTAGAAGAGCCTGCATTGAAAGAGCCTATATTTAGTATTTAAAAGCTGTTGTACACTTCTTTGAAAGCAAACCCTGTTAGACTGAGTGAGGTACACTAGAACCTGTGTGGTACTGCAGTGACCCCCCCAAACATTTGAGTACCAGGGACCATTTCTGTGGAGAGAGATTTTTTTCGCGGACCTGAGGAGCGTGATTTTGCATGCTGCCTGCATCCCATGCATTCATGGATGGTCACTCACTTGGGTGGCCCGGTTTCTGGCATGCCATGGCTCAGTGCTGGTCCATGGCCCAGGGGTTGGAGATCCCTGTGGTACTGGGCTGGTTTTCTGTGGAAAAGGTAAGGTACTTTTGTAAGGTTTGAAAGTGAGTGGCAAATGCCTATTGAAGATTTCATAGCAGAATTTAATGCATAATTATGTGATACATAATTAAGAGGCTTATGTTTTGCTTCTTCAGCAAAATATCTTATTTAGAAGAACTTGGGATAAAAGGTTGGTTTTGAAGACTCAAGAAATAGTTGAGGGCTAGGATGCACAGATCAATTTAAGTCTATTCCTTATCAATATGGCATGCATATAAACATTACTTTTTGCCCCTCAGATTACAAAATTACCTGTTGTTGTTTTTTTTTTAAAAAAAAAACTATCCAGTTTTGTCTAGTGATTAAGGCACCAGGCTAGAAACCAGGATACTGTGAGTTCTAGTCCCACCTTAGGTATGAAAGCCAGCTTGCATGACTTTGGGCTAGTCACACTCTCTCAGCTCAGTGTAGCTCACAGGGTGATTGTTGTGGGAAAATAGAAGGAAGACAATTTTTTAGGTATTATATTTTCCACCTTGAGTTATTTATAAAAATAATAAAGGTGGAATAGAAATAACTAAAAAAATAAACCCTCAATCATTGTTATTCATTGCACTTTATGCACCTTACTCAAAACTATGTATTTTTATTTGAATTCACGCCAAGATGGATTTTATTTTTGGTACATCACATTACTTTTATTATAAAGAATATTTGTACTAGCCTGCATTGCTAGGTAAGTGTAGGAGACTAGCATTTCAAATCTCTCGATACAAGAACTTTTTCTTTCTAACGATAAGCCCTAGATATTGATTTGATCTGTTTTAAAAAGTATAATATCTGCTTATTTACAAGATTTTCCCGTACCATTCTCCCACCATGTCTGGACTTAAATGATCCTCTTTTGTTGAATGAAAATTGAGATTTTTGTTAATTAATGAGTATTGTGACATTAAAGGCCATGTGTAACAGTGAGTTTCAGACAAAGCCAAATAAATTACTATTCCTCTGCCCTGCAATTAGATGATTAATTGTTGCAGAAAACCATAGTATGTATAGAGTTGCAGAAAATCGGAGAAGAAGATATAATAAGTACAGTTACTTTGGATATTTCATATGCTCCTATTACTTTTTTTTAGATGAATGCGCACAAACAGCTTTTCATAGTTTCCCCAAGCATAATTTCTCTCCTGCTCAAATGCGTCTATTCCAGTGGTTCTCAACCTTTCTAATGCCGCGACCCCATAATTGTGGTGACCCCCCAACCACTTATACATCACTGGGTGCCAGAGGCGTGGACAAAGAAAAGGGGGAAAAAATGGCAGACAGCCTTGTTTGGCGACCCCCGTGAAATGGTCGTTCGACCCCAAATGGGGTCCCGACCCACAGGTTGAGAACCACTGGTCTATTCAAAGGAAAATGACAAAGTCTGACCTTGCTCACTTTCCAAGGTGTTCTTGGATTTCAATTCTTATAATGTCTGACAATAGATCATGCTAGCTAGAAATTATATGAATTGGAGCACAGCAGAAGCTCAGGTTTGCCAGTACCTGATTTAAAGAGCCTTCTTCATGTTTGCATGGTGTGTTTGCAAACAGGTATGAAGAAGCCAAGAAACATTGAAATACAGCTTGCTCCCCTAAGTAATGGATGCTTTCTGGGACACCCAAAAAGGAATTACATGGGTTATTTAAGCCTCTTCTCCTTTGCTAAAGGAAGAAAAGGCGTTCGATCTGTAGAGTTGGGTAGGGTGTAGAAAAGAAGAGGGCAAGGATGAAGATAGCCAGTTGTTGACTAATGTGACTCATCACCTGTATGTTGCTGTTCTCTAGATTAAAAAAGCTGAAATGGATCGGAAAACTCTTGATTGGGAAATTGTGGAGCTCACTAATAAGCTTCTGGATGCCAAAACAACTATCAATAAATTGGAAGAGCTTAATGTAAGCAGTCTTTTTTTTTTCAGAACGTTGATCTTGTGTAAGAAATCGGGAAGTAATTAATAGGCTTATCCTTTCTTAAGTATATTAGTGTTTAACGTTCTGTGAAGAGCAGCACATGATATCCTACTGAAGATCAGTAAGAACCCTTCTAAGAAAAGACTGGCAGTGTGTAACAGAGCCAGTTCTTATCTGAGAAACATACTGGTGAACTTTTTCAAGAAGATGGATTGTGATAATTGGGATGCTTAATTTGTTTCGTTTAGAGCAGCCTTATTTTATTTTTTCTATTGGCTTTGTACACTGATGTATCAGTTTGACCTACATATGACTTTTATATGGTCCTATCGCTAGATATGGTCTAGGCCCTTTCTTGGGCCTTATTTACTGACTTCTGTTTGTAAAGCTATAAAGTTACCTGCTTACAGTAGTTGTAAAGCCTGTTTTAAAAATAAATATTCTAGTTTGTGAATGAGCTTGTCAAATTGCACAAGTTTTAATCAGCCACAATGGACAAGACGCTAGTAGCTAGAACAGATAGTAGAAGATAGTAGCTGTACATTTTAATGCATTTTTATTTGTTTAAAATGTTCTTTGGGATTTGTGAGAGGAATTGTTATGTTCAAGATTGGTTCTTCCCTTAGTCTGCAGCTGCAGATTCTGGGCTGCCTTAGACATGTTGCAAGTTCTCAATTATTTTGTTTTCATTGTTACGAAACATGGTTGTATTTTTGTCTGGGACATCACAGTGTTGTGCACCATTTCAAGCTATGTCTCTTTAATCCTAATGTGTTGTCTTGACAGGAGCGGTATCGGCTAGACTGTAACTTAGCAGTGCAGCTCCTGAAGTGCAACAAATCTCATTTTCGGAACCACAAATTTGCTGATGTGAGTAAAAACCTGGAGGGGTTTGAGGACTGCTGAATCATTTTAATGGTCCCGGATGAACTGCATGGCCTTACTTTTTTTGGACTTTCTATCTCCTAAAGGGGACGACAAACAGTTAATGTCAGTCATCTTGTACATGTTGTCTCTCATTGCCTCATTGGCTTTGAATTCAGGTTCCTGCAAAGCTTTTAAAGAGTTGCAGGCCTCCTGCTTAATCCTAACTTTCCTCTTTTTGTTTCAGCTAATCATTTCTATATGAGTCCTCAGCACAATGAGTTGTTAAAAGAGAATTAATAATCCAGTACAAGAATCTGTTTACTACAGGGGCTTTTAACTAACTAAGGTGAGGAGACCATTGAGTAGCAGGAAAGAAAATAAGGAAGCTAGTTGGACTAGGAAGTTTAAATATCCAGGAGATTTCCAGATTTTGTAAACATCACAAATCTGTTTAGTATGACCTTGCTACTGCTTTTACTATCACAATGAGTATATAATAAAATCATATTTTATTATGATTAATATATTTTCAGGCTTGCAAAATGGCATACAAATACAATCATGGTCAATTAGAGGTCCTAATAGCTTTTGTAAAAAAAAAAAGGTATAATTTAGTACTCTTTTCAAACCTGTTTTCAACTCAAAAGCATCTATGAATTAAAGTGACAGCAATCTTAAGCAGAAAGGTATATACAAGGAGCAAAACAGATGCATAAATAGAACTGTATACCGACAGTATTTCCAACAAAGTATTGATACCATCACTGAGAAGGGTTTCTTACTTACATATCTTAATAGTGCGGCTCTAGAATGATCCTCAAGGTAGATGTTAAAAGTCTTTTGGAACTGATATATATCACTGGGCTCAGCAGATAAATTTGGACCAAGATTTAATAGCAAATATAGTTGAAACATTTACGCTTAGTTTATATTAATTGCAGCTTTTTAAAATAGGAGCAACGTTAATAGATGGTATTTGCATAATGTTTAAAAAATATTGATAAGATAGGAAAATCAATACCCTTTTTTTACTGGAAGGGAGAAGAGTTCATCTTCAGTTACACTATATTATTTCATAATTAAAATCAGGCCCCTCTACAATAATGTGTACAGCTACAACACATTGATATGTTAAAATTATTTTTAAAATGCTTGCTTTCTCCCATTTCAGTATTCTAGTACAGGAGATAGGCAGCCTTGGCTCTTTGATGACTTGTAGACTTCAATGCCCAGAATTCCTGAGCCAGCCATGCTGGCTCAGGAATTCTGGGCATTGAAGTCTACAAGTCATCAAAGAGCCAAGGTAGCCTACCCTAATCTAGTAACACACCTGCATGGATTTTTCATCTAACCTGTCTAAACTCTGATGTCTAGAGTCAGTTGCTGCTGACCTTCTAGCCTCCCACCCCACCTCAAGAATTTCATATTATTTTGGTTAAAAGGAGATGCTTTCAGATCAGGCTAATTGAGACCAGACCAAGACGCTATTAATTCCTATTGATATCCAAGATGCTATTCTTTCTAGTGATGTCATTGTGCTTCTTTGTGTTCTTTATGTACCACAACAGGTCGGCCTTACACTTGAACAGAATATTTTCCAAAATGTTGTAGAACTGAGCATTTGGCCCTATTCCTGTGCTCGAGAGCTCAGGCTCAAATGGCATGGCTTGGAGATTTAGACTGAATGATTTTTCTTGGGCATTCTTTTTGCACGTTAATTTTCCTAAGCACAGTATTTACTTGGTAAAGTAAATACAGTTATTTTTATTCTTAGTGCCTCTTTGGATCCTGAGGTTCCTTTCAGCTGCATAAGGAAATTGCTGCATGGGGGCTTCTGTGTACTGAGATGGTGCCTTGATGAAAGTCATCACATTCTTGCTTTAATATTCAGAGATTGCATTTGCTGTTTTCAACATTTTTTAAAAATGCATTGTTTCAATTATAGACTACCAAGCTAATCGCCCGATATATGACTTGTGGGCATCCCTTTAGAGTTAGCTGCTGCTTTTAAAAGGGTAATTTTAAAATCATTTATATTTGCAGGCCTGGTACATGTTTTCAGGTATCAGTGTTTACCCATTTCTACTGCTGGATATCAGTGTTAGCACAATGCTTGTCTTTGCAATCCAAACACATCTGGCCCATCACTAGAGCATTTGGTCAGGGACAAAGACTACGAAGAAGGAGATGCTTTACCTATGACTGGTGGTCATCTCAAGTGGTCACCTCTGCATTCATCCTATTTTATGTCTGCCACGGATGCTGGCTTTCATGTTCCGTCATTCTGCTCTTCACGGTTTACAGGAGTTTCTGCAGCATTCACTGGGAAATGAACAAAAGCCAAGTCCTGCAGGAACAACATCTTAGAGAGCAGGACCGTGTTCTGCTAAAAGCTCAGCCCTAGGATGTTCTGCAAGATGTTCTGTGCAGAATCTATTTCTGTGCTGCACGGATGAAAGCTGATGAAAATGATATACTCCTTGCTTATAATTTGCTTGACAGGGATTGCAAAGGTGGTTCTGTTTCCAAAATCAGTTGAACTAATTCTAGGGTAGCTTGCCAAGGCAAACTGGCAGACGTAATTTATAACAAGGGCAGGGAGAGAACTGGTCATTCAGTTCAGTGTGGCAATGAGCTCCCACCCCCACCCATCAGTAGTACTGTGTTGGCCTAATACGAGCAAGGAGTTCAAGTTATTACAAATGTTTCTTATTTCTTCTAAATGTGTATTGCTTATCAGTCATGGAAAAATTATATTTTACCCTTGATTCTGGGATAGAAATAGAATTTTGAATGTAGATGTTGCATATTTGAAAAGCTCTTCAGTTACATTTAGTTAGAACAGTGTTTCTCAACCTTGACAATTTTAAGGCATGTGGACTTCAACTCCCAGAATTCCACAGCCAGCAATGCTGGCTGTGGAATTCTGGGAGTTGAAGTCCACATGCCTTAAAATTGTCAAGGTTGAGAAACACTGAGTTAGAACAAGCGATTTAGATTGGATTTGCATACACCTTTGTGTATTTGTCCACCCCAATTACCCTGTTTGCTATGTGCTATTTTAATTCAAACCTTCTCTTCCTTATTAGCTTCCATCTGAGCTGCAAGATATGGTCAACAAGCACCTGCAAAACACTCAGGATTCTGTAGGCCCTGGCCAGGAGGAATTGCACACCTTGGCTCCATCTGATGCGGTACCCACCTCAGTCATTGCTAGAGTGTTGGAGAAGCCAGAATCACTGGTGCTGAACTCAGCCAAATCCAGTAGTGGAAGTTGCTGTATGGCTGAAGATGTTTTTGTGCATGTAGATATGAGTGGCACTCCTGAACCTTGTGTGAGTTCGGGCCAAAGAGAAAGCAAAGAGAAAGAAGGATCAAGTCAGCAAAATGGGAGCTGCAGATCACAGAACTGCCTGGAGAGCCTGCCGAAGGAGGTGCCTACTTTTGAGAAACTAAGCCCATATCCTACCCCTACCCCACCCCACCCCATGTATCCAGGCCGCAAAGTAATTGAGTTTTCAGAGGACAAGGTGCGGATTCCAAAGAACAGCCCACTGCCTAATTGTACTTATGCTACCCGCCAAGCTATTTCTTTGAGCTTAGTCCAGGGGGAGGATGAGAACTGTGACAAGCAGCGGCCCCTTCCCAGCAGCCCAGCCTCAGGTCAACGCTCTGCTTCTAGCTGCTCCTACCAGCCTTCCCCCAAGTTGAGCCGGGTTCCTGGATCTTCTCAAAGCAGCCCCTTCAGCAGCCCCCCACAGGTTCCCAGCACGTTTGCCAGCTCCGCCAGCTCAGAGGAAGATTTACTAGCTAACTGGCAGCGGATGTTTGTGGATAAGGCTCCTCCTACCACAGAGCAGGTGCTAGTAAACCGTACTGCATTTAGCCGTGACGCAGCACAGGAGCTCCAGAAACGTTTCAGTCGCTCCATGCAAGAGTTAGGCCGGGTAGCTTCCGCCTACTCGGATGGTGAAGAATCAGTGCAGAGCTGCAGCTGGACTGTAAGCAGGGACTCAAGTGTGGACATCGACAGCACAGAGTTTCAGAGTCGCCGGAACCACTTCTCTTCTGACTACAGCACAGATTTCTCCCAGGATGAAAGCTGCAAACTGCTGCAAGGGTGTGGTACCGAGGGGATGGCAGAGCTGGTCACTTCTTCACCAGAGAAGTCCAAAGATTACATAGACTACACATCTGGGAGCCCAGCTGAAGAACAGGAATTGCTACTCCAGGAAAGCAGGATGAACAGCCACGAGGGGGTTTCTGAGCAGAGCAAGGATGGCAAGAATAAGCCACCTCCTGGGCGCCCACATCGCAGCCCCAAGAGAATGGGGGTTCATCATTTACATCGGAAAGACAGCTTAACCCAGGCTCAGGAGCAAGGCAACTTACTTACTTGAGAATGGAGAAGATTGTCTTGGCTTCCCAGGTTGAGCACTGCATTCTCTTCCCAGGCTTGCCCTTCATGCCCTGAGACACAAGGGATTGCCATCATGTTATTTTGGCCAGGAATTCTAGGCAATGTTTAAGTATTTACTGTCTTCTTAATACACAGGAAAGGGGGGAGACAGCTCTTCTCTAGCATCAGGATGCATTTGGATGTACGCTGGCAACACTTTTGTGCTGATGTTGACTGCTCAAGCACTCCTCAGGTGTAGATAAGAGATAGAATTGTGCTCTCTGTGCCTGCCTTCTCCAACCTGTTCTTGTCTTGAAGGCCAAGATCTAGAAAATAGTTCAGAGTCCAATTATAATATATATATGATTGGAAAACCAGCACAATTTTAGATCCACACAAGCACTCTGTGTGAAATTGAATTTGGTGGTCATTACTTTACAGGCCTTCCCTCTTAAAGTAAAGAACAATGGAGCGGTTGAAACAAAGGTATGTTTTCTATCTCCCTTCCACGCGTTCTTTCTCCAAACGCTTGGTGAGGGATTCCACCTGACATCATTTCTTTTCTTCGAAACGTCTGCCTTCACACTTACGGATCAGCTCCAATTGATTCAAATTATGTCCTGAGACACCTGAAGCCTATATTTCTACCTTTTTTGTGGCTTGTGGCACGAGATAGGAATATTTAATCCCTATTTTCTTGCCTCAATCTCCCACCAAGCCATCAGGTGAAGAATATGAATGAAGTGAGAAGCCTTCCATGAATGAACATCCTCAGTTCTGTAAGCTTTTGGTGAATTCTGTAAAATTTTGGTGAGTTCATGTTTGTTTCTCCAAGCCTTCCTGTGGCTATGTGCATAGGTTAACAGGGCCGATGAGGCACAGGAACCAGCTTTACCGTTTCTTTGCATGTTGCGTATGGGGAGTGGGGCTCCATATTCTGGAACTTGGGATTTTCTGCCAAACTAGACCTCAGACTCCCTGCCATAGTCACCCAACAAAACTGAGCTAGATTGTTTGCCATAATGAGCTGAGTCTGCATAGCTGTCTGCTCAGCTATCACTTGGGTTCTCTGGACCATGTCTTGGTGATAGTATACTATGTATGTTTTCCTTTGGACTAGTCTTCCTCACTCTTATTCTTTAGATGTGTAGGGGCTAAAATTCCCAGCAAGTGTGACTGTATAGGGCTGCACTTCTTGAGGATGCCAAATTGAGGAATGCTGCTTCAGGTCTTCAACTGTTAATATGTACTTATCTCTCCATTTTTGGGTGAGCAGAAAGGTGTTGTGGGATGGGGTGATACATGCTGTGGAAGAAATACCTCAGCTTTTTGATTTTAAGTCATCTTATGTCTGGTCTGTAAACTTATTTCACTAGCTGAGGAAGAAATCCACATTAATCCAAGACTAAACCATACAGCCAGCTTGCCTCTTGATGACTCTTCTTGGCACAAAATTACAAAATATTTCTTGTTTGCCCCCTTGGAGACGGCTAATGAGGATGGGCACCCCAATATGGGGTCCAAATTGACACTAGTGCCTTTCCAAGGCCTTACCCAAGGTCTTTTATTCCCTTTCCCCCTTTTTGGTTTCCTACTTGTATTCCGTATTTTGTTCTTCCTTTGTGGGTATGTTTTTGTGTTATTTGTGCATTGGAGAGGAGGGAATAATTTCATAGTGTTAAGGATATTTCATTAAAGAATCAAACTTTCATATTTGATTTCATTAGCCTGCCCTGCTATTCATGCAACCAGAGAAATTTTGGTAATTTTCTGTTAGCAAATATTATGGCCTTTCTTTTCAAATACAGCAATCTGGTCATACCTGACCTTTTGGATATGGTCGTTTAAATTCTTATTAATGGACCATTCCTTTAGTTAGGCTGCTAGCTACTGCGTTGTATTAGTGAGATGTAACTCAGTATTTTTTTGCTAATAAACTGGTGCTAAAGATACTATTCCTTTAGCTTACATACTTAGTGGTCTGATTTCTTCAGCTGATATTTACTTACTTCCTCATTCTCTTGATTTAGCTTGTGAATTCCTTGAACTTTCTCTGCACTACATGGAAGAGGACAAAGGTTGCTATATTTTTCTGTTCCAGTCCTCCTGTATTCTTTTAATCAGGTTATTGATGGAGATAGGGCAGCTTGGTGATCTTATTTAAACCAGTATTGGTTGAATCTTATCTAGTTGAAATGAAATAGTTGTCATGAGCTAATTGGGTCAATGGAATCGATTTGAGACCATTTTGGTTACACTATGTTAAATCCAGATCCAGTTCTCCATTCTATGTTTGGCTGCATAAAACATTCTGAAGCTGAAACAAGTATAGCTGATAACGAGATGATCTAGATATTTTTTTCCTTCTCTCTTTAGATACATTGAACTAAAGCGGAGACCCATACAATTCAGCTCAGGGTTGCAACCATCCCTCTTTTGGCCCTCACAGCCCTCCAAGTTGGTGGGATCTAAAATTTTGGACTTTTTACATTTTTTTCTAAAAAAGCTGGATGTGGTTTAAGGGCCAAAATGGATAATTTAAAGCCTTGCAGAAGTTATTGGTACCCATTTATCTCCTTAAGCTAACCCCTTCTATAAGTGACCTTTGAAGTGCTGTTGACATGCTGTCCCAGCACTTGGGTAGCCCTGTAGGTAATAACTTAATGGGCTAAAGGTTGGGGGAAGAAAGCCAGAAGAAACTAAATACGTTTCTTATTATAAATGAATAGTATAATTTATCAGATAAATTACTGTCCTTGTGCAATCTGGCTTCTTAGCCCTTCACCTCTGGCAGTATTTTGTTGGAGAACTTGAATTGACTCATTTAGCTGCCCCACATTTTAGAATCCCAACTCAAGACTGTTAATCTACAACTAAAATGCTGTGGTGGTGGTGGTGTGTTTTGTTTTGGGATTGGGTTTTGTTTTGTTTTGAGATTTTCAAACTGATAATGTATATTTTAAAGGCAGAAATAAAACTATTTTAAAAATACATCTCTGCAGTTACTTGTTTATTTTGTGGCTTGAATCAGAAACAGACCATAGAAATCTTCTGCTAAAATTCTAAAGGTGCAATTACAGGTATTTTTCAGAACTTGCTAATTGATATTTTAACCAGAAATGCAAGGGATCTAATCTGGAACCACCTTAATACAAAAGATTGCTGTATAACTGAATGCTATATCTACCTGTAAATTTCACCAAGATTAACTTTCCTTTATGATTGTATTCAGACTGAATTTTTTTCTGGAATTATCAGTTAGGTGACAATTGACCTTTGGTCTTTAGCAGGATGCTGAAGACATTAGTGTAGCATGAGACATCCTTAGTAAAGTAGAAGCATATATTCTTTTTTATTTTCAGTGTTTGGGTTTTAGAGTCCCTTCAAATTCTTGATATACTTATATATCAGCCTTTCCTGACCCAAGTCCTTCTAGATGTTTTGCTCTTTTAATATCCACATCAGCCTCAGCTTCAACCACTTTGAAGGTCGTGTTTAAAAATCCAAAACATCTCTGTTGGATGTCCACTATAAACCATGCAAGGGCTTACTGAAAAAAAGTCCTATTTGGCAAATGCAGACCCTGCTGCCTCCTGCTGGTTTCAAGGTCTTTGTATTTTTTTTGTGGAGAAGATCTATAATTGCATTTCTAGAATGATGGTAATACTGTACATAATATTTTTATTGTTGGACTAAAGTGAACTTATCTTTAGAAGTAAGGCCAATATACCAAAATTAGTAGAGATAACAAGCTGTAATCACACCTGATCTCTGAAAAATGTTTTGCAGTCTTCACTTCTACTGAAAAAATGTGATATTATCACTTTGATTCTGAATTTATTGTTGATACATTCCTGGGGAATGGAGGTTTTTAAAGTGTTTTTTTTTTAATTGATACATCTATGTGTGCTTTAATATAGCTGCTTTGGATTTTATTTTTAAAACAAGGAAAAAGGTAGTACATTGGACTTACCACACAGTGGGACAGAGGCCTTTGTAGTGTGATGTCTTCTTCCCGCTCACATCCAGGCCAGACTCAGAAGATTCTCACAGTGCTTTCTGGGGGAAGATAGAACTTCTCCACCAGTTTCAGTATGACAAATCACAGGATTACCTAAAGAAAATACGCTTCGAAAAATATAGTTACTCTGTGTGTGTGTGTGTGTGTGTAGGATTAAATTATGTAGAATTAGTTACTGAAATTGACAGGTATCTATCAACACCTAGGTAACCTAGATGCCCTGTTTCTACTATAGAAAAAAGAACTTCATGAAAGTCAAACGTACTGGTCCTCTTTAGCAAAATCAGGGCATTTTTATAGTGTGATATACCAGAGGTGTCTCTGAGAGTGGAATTTTACATCTGGACAGTTTCTAGTCCTTGCTAGAAACTACCTTTTGTAGGGTTCTGCCAAAGAATACTTAACCCAATCATTGCAAGAGTTACGCTCACAGTGTTTTATAAAGGACACAGAGTGCGGCAATTCTACAGATGTGTCCCAAGCAATCCATAGTGAGTCTTTAGGACTCACCCATATGAAGTTCTATGGGATCTACAGGAAGGCAAATTCTATTAGACTCCACATATGTAAATAGTGATTGGTGTTTACTTCTCCCCGTTTGCCAGTGAGAGAAAATATTGCCCCAGCTAGACCCGAGGCTGATGTGACTCATTTGGGGGAGGGGAGGGTTTCTGTGCCTCTCCCAAGTAATTTGTGTCTCTTGTTGCTAGTTGCTGATTTGGGTGTGGTAGGGGCAGAAGGAATGGGGTAATTCAGTCTGAGGTCCTGGTTCCTTTGACTTTGTCTTTTTGTTGGTGGTGGTTAGGGATAGGGTTGGGAGTATGCTGCTTGGTTGGTTGATTGGTTAGGAGCTTATTTTTTCAATCTCAGTAATATTAGAGGCTTCCTAAATAGATTATTACCATGTTTGGAAAGTCCCGATACGAGAGCTGATTTTATTACTTTGCCTTCCAGTGTTCTACCCATAGTTGTCACGGTGTCTACATTAGAAGCCATGCCTTCAGCCGAAAACTATAATTTAGGCTAATTTCTGCCATAAGGCCAGGTTGGCTATTATGATTAGGCCTCCCCCTTGACCATGGGATCAAAAGCCTAGGGAGAATGGAATAGGCAAGGAAGGCTCTTAGTAACAAGACTAAGGCAGTAGTTAATGAGATCTGTGTTCCATAATCTTCATTCTCCTGTCCTCTGGATATTCTGAAAACATCTGTCTCATCTTTATATACTGTTAGCTTCCAAAACCAAAGATGTCATGGGAACAGGTCCAGAAATGCCTTGGGAAAGTTATAGAATTTGTAGACCAAGAGAAGTGCCCCACCTTGTCATCCCTGGAATTCCCCATTATGTACTTCAGAAAATGGAAGCAAAAAAAAAAAAGGGAGAGGAGAACTAAGGAGAAATTTCCTGACAGTTAGAACAATCAGTGGAACAACCTGCCTCCAGAAGTTTTGAATACTCCAACACTGGAAGTTTTTAAGAAGAGACTGGACAACCATTTTGTCTGATATGGCATAGGGTTTCCTGCCTGAGCAGGGGATTGGACTAGATGACCTCCAAGGTCCCTTCCAACTCTGTTATTCTGTTATTTCCACAATCAATTATGTGGTTGCTGTAGCTTTTATTTTTAATGGCCTATTGTCATTTTGTGAAACAAAGAGTATATCAAAATGGATTTGAGAAAGATAACAAAGTACATGAGATTGAGTTCAGTGCAGGCCTTGGTTGAAAAAGTTCTTGCAACACAACTCTATTAGCGTTCTGCTTTTCATAAGAGAATAAGATACGTGGAGTCAAGCAGCCAAACTGTTTTACTGATGCCGTGTTCAGGTGAGCTGTTACTATTTTCAGTGTACATCTCATCCCTTCTAACTTTTTCATCGATACTTAGATCAGAACTCTGCCATGTTTTGTGAAGTTTATAAAATTTTACCCAAGCATAAATACAAGCAATAAAAAGAATATCTCTTATACATATATACATCTGAAAAAGCAGCTTCTCCCCAAGATCAGTTAAGTATGGCAAAATATAAAAATACAGCAACTGAATCATCAAAAGCAGATGATAAGGACTGATTAATTAGGACCTGGTTCCAGAGTAGGGAAAAGAAAGGTGACTAGTGTATGGATCTGCAGTCACACAGCCTAGTATTTGCATACAGGCATATCAGCTTTCCTATCTTTGCTTAGTGCAGGGGTTTCAAACTGCTGGCCTATGGGCCGGATGCGTCATGCCGAAACCATGCCCACCACATTGCCGGCAATGGAGAAAAAGTCATGATACGTCGCGACACGTCACGTGACATTGCGAGTTTGACACCCCTGGATTAGTGCACACACAAATTTCAGAAGCACAGTAGACATTACACAAGATGTGTGAAAATACACATTTCTACCAATATATGATCTTTCCAAATACAGTACATGGAAATACTTTTCTCATCAGACATTCTGTTCACATCTCTGTTTCCGCTAATAGACTTTCTCCAAGGCCTGATGTTACCAAGACCATCTGGGAACTAGAATCTGAAATGGAAAAAAATTTCTTTAGCATTGACACTGGCAATTTTTATCTTCCTTTAGGCCCCGTAGATAGTGCTGCCAAAATCCAAAAGCAAAATGGTTAATTTTCAGCCTGTGAATTTCTCTTTTAATTTCGTCTCAAAATCACAACAGCAAAAATCCAGCCATCTCTATCTAGTGATAACAGCAGTTTCCTGCAGATTTCAGCATCAAGAGACAAGGGAAGCCATCGTCAATTGTAGCAGAGTCTTTTAAGAACACCAGGTTAAGCCTCACTTTCTAAACACCTCTGAAGTGTAATTACTGTAAAATTGCACGAAATCTTTAAAGCAACAAGTTTGTAAAACTACCTGCTGAGTTAATATTTGTTCCAATACAAAAGATAAATTAACTGTCTGCATAATTTAAAGAAATTGAGATAAACAGCAAAAAGCTTAATAAGAACTTTAAAAGTTACAAACAATTTAAGAGATCAGGCAGTTTTTGGAATATTAGGACTTTTGTTAAAAGCTTTGGGAAATAATTAAAAAAAACATGTCAAATTTTGCAATTTTAAAAATAAAGCACTAGAGGGGGCTAAAGACTTCAGGCAGAAGAAAGAAAAAGTCTTGTAGAACCTACAAATGACAACTTTATGACATTTCAGACATTTCAGGAAATTTTGGAAGAAGGGTTATGATCTGGTAGTTACAATGTCCACAACATTGTTTTCCTACAGTATAGGAATGTATTACTTCCAAAAGATTTTAAAGAAGAAATGATAACTGAAAAGGAATATTTTGGAAGATTGACCGGACGAAAGGAATAAACAAGTGCAGAAATACGTGGAAATAAATTCTGGACTATAAATCAGAGATGACAGACAAAATGGAACCTCAAATGGTAAGACAGAATAATTTGGATAATTACTTTTTATCAGATTTACAAATGTATATTAAAAAAATTGAAGAAACTTTTGAGATGGGAAAAACAAAGTGAAGGGAGATCAAATCCTATAACATCAGAATGAAATAAGAACCAAGATTATCTATTTTTATCTATTCTTTTTTTTAAATTTCTGTTTATTGTTTATTACTGGTAGTCCTCAGCTTACAATCCATTCATTCAGCTGCTGTTTGAAGTTACAATGGCACTGAATGGTGATTATGACTGATCTTTGGAATGTATTTTTAAAATCCTTAATAAAGTTATGTTAAAAAAGCAGCACCAGATTTTAGTGTTAGGTGTTTACTCTGATTCTGGTTTTATATCAATATGACAGCTATGAAGTTCTGATGACTTTTAGTATCAGCGCTATACCAAGGTAATAAACATTCAGCATGTTTGAAAAATTGGCACATACTTTTTCACAGAATTGTACCTTCTACTATTTATTTATTTAATGGATAGGTGTGTATAGCTCCAAATGAAGAATTAGGCTTCCATTTTTATTTTCCAAGTACAAGGTTTGGGCCTATGTGAAACTAGAGTAAAGATGCAGTAAACTAGCCTCTTTCCCCCCCTAAAATTGGAAAGAAAAAAGATATTCATTTGTACTATCTTATCTCCCCAAGATAATAATATATTGCTGCATTAATTTTAGATATATTTTGAAGGTGCAACCATATCTTAACTTCTGATTTTCAGTTATGGAGCTGCTTCATATAAAAAACAAACAAACTGGAAACCAGTCTGGTATATGTTTGTAAGCAGGCTAAATGACTCTATTAATTCCTACTGCCACATACCAATTTATAGGAATGATTCAAGAAAATCACTTTCAGGATGAAAACATTTATTTATTTATTGTGTATGTGCACTTTAGTGTCCCCTGGTGACTGCCTAGACAGTCCCTGCAGCTTTCTTATTTTTTAAAGGAACTCAAAACAAAAGCATTCTACATCATTAATTTCAAAATCTTTTCCCCCAATTTATGTGAACCCTTCATCTGTTCTAAACTCAAAGTTTTAATCATCCTTTTTGCTGTTTATTCTAGAAAAAATGTATTATTTATTAAGTATTTAAAACTTATTTCACAAAGGATTGAAGGAGACTCACTGGGTATTGTAAAACTTGTTAATTTGAAAGTTCTTAATAGCTGAAAAGCAGTTAACAAGCATTTTCCAAAAGCGATTAGGAAAGGAAGTATGCGAACCACGTGTCTTTTTGAGGAGCCAATTGTAGTTGGAACAAGATGGCTATTCCCTCATCTCCCAGAGCTTTAAAGCTACTGGAGATCGCTGTCTTGTGTCTCCCTACGAGGAACAACTATGTGGAGCATTTGTGGGTGATCTCAAGTCCTCTCATTATCCAGAGAGAAATTATGGAGAGGCAGTCTACTCGCTGGATCTTCATTCTGTCACGGTGAGCTTCACCTTTTGTGGTGCCATCTTCAGCTTGCCATTTCTTCCCCAGAAGTCTTCCCTGCAGTTTTCTTGGAAAGATTTTGGAAGTGGCTTGCCATCTCCATGAAAGCATTAACTATTAGTTTATAGTCAAATTTAGTATCCATCAGCTTCTATTAAGATTTCATCCTGAAAGAGGAATTTCAGTTCTAGATAAACTAGGCCAATTATGCCAATACAAATAAATATTGGGATGAAAGAACAATACAATTTAGAGATACGATTATCAAAACTTCAATATTACAAGAATGGGGAAATATCTGTTCTCCATCAACTGTATGGTGATCTGAAATATAGAATTCCTCTATATTTGAAAAAGCATCTCATCACTAGGAGTCTCAACTAGTGGCCTATTTTAACTATCTGTATAAACTATTCTACATGGCTAATATACTTTTCCCTCTTATAAAAGTCAGATAAACTGACTGAAATACAAACAAATTAGTTTTACAGTATAATAGAAACATACTAAAGACTAAATGATCAGTGTTCTAGTAAAGAAAATTCTTATCTCCTCTTTCCAAATAAATCAAAAGATAAAAAATGCAGTATCCTAATTCCGCATGCGTGTAAATCTCCCACACAGTGTCACCTCCCATTCTTAAGAGGGAACCAATCTTACTGCTTTGACAGATCCAGGAATTCTTCTCTCTGGCCATCACTTCATGGGGCACAGTCTCATCTTCTTCCTCCCCCTCTGAAAGAAGGTCTGAGATTTGTTGCTGTAGTTCAGGACTAATGTTGTTCTCTGCCAGGATCAATGTCCTCAGAGCTGTTGGATAGTTTTCCACCATGTCCAATAGGATCTGAATTGTGTCAGAACAGAACAGAGGCATCATGAGACACAGCTCACTCTAGTCACCAGGTGACCAAAGGGAAAAAAAAGATTTAAAATGGATTACAAAGATCGTTTGGAGATGGGAGAAACCTTTAATATAATTTACCAGATTCCCTGCATGGATTGCCCATGACAGAATGGGAAGAAGCTAATCACCAGACTGCAAGAACAAGAACAAGCAGTTAGATGAGGGGATCCAAACTCATTGCAATGAACAAGTAGCTGCATTCAATTTTGCAGCTACTAAGATTGTTGGCTGAGTAGGGACAAAAATAGCCAGAGAAATTATTGAGGCCTGGGAAACGGGCCCTTGATCAGTCAATAGGAGTGCTGATTTACTATCACCAGCTTACCAGTTACTTAGGAGCCAAGTGTGTGGCAGCAGAAAGAAACTACAACTAACTAATTAATAGCCAGCCATCGACACCCTAATTAACAACTAAAAGCCACACACAACCAGGCATCATAGAAATACAATTCATAGAACAGCCCAGTTCACACATTATGAAAAGAGAGAAGTCCCCTGGAGATGGGCTTCAGCATGAGCCTGAAAGCTTGGAAGAATAAATCTTTGGTCCTGATGACCGATTCAGATTGGATCCTGCAAGATCTAAAATGTATTTATTATGACATGGGATTAACAATGGGCAATTAATCTAAAACATAGTTGTATTTCTTCCTATCCCCAATTATAATTACACAGAGCAAGTTCTTCATCACTAGAGAGAATCAGTTCTTTTGTCACTAATTCACTATCTAATACCTGTGACTGTATCCCTCTCTGTTGGTTAAAAAAACAACCACCCCCTTCACATCAAACCAAAATCTTAAGGGAAAGTAGGAGGTCTTCCACATCATCGAGTTTTAAGTAATTGTAATTTCTTAGGTCTCTTGAAAAATACACGGGGTGGGGATTATGTGCGAGCTTTGCAGTTGGTTACACTGACTTTTATGACTGGCAAGAGAAATAAGGGCAGCCAAGAAAAATACTTCCTTACCATAGCTGACTGGTTGGTAAGTCCTGTCCCTTCCAAGTCTAAAACTTCTAAGGTACGGCTGGATGCCACTGAAACAGCCAGCATTGCTGCTATCTGGTCACCTATGGAACAGAAAACCAGGGGATGTGAGAAAAGCACAGTGCAGCTCTACCAGATGCACCCACTTCAAGAGCAGCAGAATGTAAGGGATATCTTCCCCGTCTGAATGCTGAAAGTTTCTTCACTCTCCCTCAGATTATGGCTCCTAATGCTGAATTCCATAGTTGCAGCTTTATAAAGAAGATGCTGAGTTAATACTTCACCATGTGTTGATAGTGCAGGATGCTAGGCAATGGTGAGGAAGTTCTCCTTTTCCTCTTGCTTTTCATCCTTTGCAAACTAGCTAACAATAGCATAAATAAATAAATAAATCCCCCCAACACTGTGCAAATCTCTGAGTAATCCTTGTCTCTCCTTGTCTCTGAGTAGCCCCCTAGCAGCTTATGATTGGTTAGCAGATGAAGGACATGCACCACTCCTTGGAAGCCAAGGTGTGTGGGGGGGGGGAAAGGGGGGAGGCTTGTCCATCCTAGAGGGCAAGGTGAGGCAGGGCGTGCATAAGTATGGCCAAGATGTTCGCATCTGTCTCCCCCTTTAGTGGGATGAGCAGTACAGAGCAGCCTGGCTCACCAGCTGCCAAATCAGCTCAGCAATGCAGCTGGGAAGAGAAGAAGTTTCCATGGCAACCGCTGCTGGAACTCCTCTTTGCCTTGCTATTTTTTGAAGCGGCAGCTGGGAAAGGGACAACTTATGCCCACCAAGTCCAGGATCTGGGATGGAATTCAGCCAATGACCCCATAAATGAGATATTGCCACAGAGTCCGGAGGAGAAGCTCATCATCTTGGTTTCAGATGGCCCAATAGTGCTCTGTTCCTTCCTTCCTTGTATAGAATGGTCCTCCGTCCTACTCGTCCAGAATTGAACATGTGACGATGGCAGATTTGGTTTTGCACTTTCAGCTTTCAATTAAGGAGTGATTTCTTAAGCTTTCTCTTATTGCTTCTGTTTGAAGCATGTGACTGAAAGATTATTCCTGATAAACTGGGACCCGGCTTACAGACAAATTTAAGGGGGGAAAAAAAGCGGGGGGAAACCTAGATTGGAGGAAGCCCTGACTGAAAATTTATCAAGCCTTTACCAGCCTTTGAAGATCAGGTGGGGAGGTACAGTCCCAACACATGCAGAAGACAGTGGGCTACGTATAGAAGGTTGGGACAGAAAACACTGGATGAGATGGCATACAATTGGCCTGACTTTGTAGAAAGCAGCTTCACCAGCTGCCAAATTTGCTTTTTTCCCAACTTTCTCACAGTCCTTAGGTCCTCTTGATTAGAGGGCAGAGTAAACTGCTTTTAAATTACTACTGGTGTAAGGCAAGCATATCAAACCCACAAGCCGCATCAGGCCCTGCACAGCAAGTAATGCAGCCCTACAAGATTTTTTTTTTAAAAGTAAAGGAAGTTTGTTATTTATATACATTAACTACATATTTTCTAGGCAGCCCAAGACAATTCCTCTTCAGTGCAATGAGGCCCAGGCAAATCAAAAAGTTGGGCACCCACGGCATAAGGCAATTTGACTTTGTTCCCTAACCAAGAAGACATGATGGCCTTCTAAGTAGCTCTGTTAGGTATTATCTGGATGTGTTTAAGATGTAAGCCTTAAATGATTGTGATTAATATTCATATGTTACTTATATGTAAGGATTGTGATATGTATATGTTACTTATATGTAAGGGTGTAGGTTTATACACATGTTGTATATAGTATGTTTAAATGTGTGTTATGTTTGTGTACACTTTGAGAGCAAGCAACTAAATTTCATTTTTAATGTGTGCCATTGTGCCCACAGTAAAAATGACAATAAAGGTCTGTCTGTCTGTCTGTCTGTCTGTCTGTCTGTCTGTCTGTCTGTCTATCTATCTATCTATCTATCTATCTATCTATCTATCTATCTATCTATCTATCTATCTAAATGTTATAACCTGTATAATCTCAACAAAATCTCTAGTAGCCAGAAGGACACACAAACATGCGGAATATCCAAATCCAAATAGTCCTCTCACCCAGGGGATTGTAGTCCAGATTCAGCACTCGCACCTGGGAACTATGAGCCACTGCAATAGCCAGACGTCCCCATCCCTTGGGGGTGATGCCAGAATTTGCACTCAGAGTCAGTTCCTTCAATCCTAGGTGTAAAAAAAAAGTCAGGTGACCTCAAGGCAACTTTTACAAAGCCTCTTCCATTCAGGGTTGATATCACTGAATTATTAATGCAGCTGAAACTTATCCAACCCTGATCAATTAACCTCAAAATATATTTTCAACACACTCTTGTTCAAACTAGTACTACAATTATTTGGTAATCTTTGTTAGATATGGAGAAACTAGAAGGGGAGCAAAGCATTTTCAGGAGCAAAAGAAGCTCAAGTTGATTGAGTAGCTGATAGGCAAACTGTTATCTTACCACCCCAACTGTCACAATAATGTAACAATAAGCCAAATATTTGATCATGTTCTATCTTCCCCCAACTAATGCTGTTCAGATGTGCTGAAATGAAAGCTGAAATCCTAACCACTGTGGCCCAATGTTGCAACTTGCGGTCCCATAACTATTGGAGCACAAGATTGGGGAAAGCTATTTCGAGAATATTTCAAGTTCTGCTTGCTGATTCTCCAATTCAAATAATAGCTACAGGTAGTCCTTGACTCACAACCCTTCGTTTAGTGACAGCTTGAAGTTATATATATTCAAGAGTCCATTTTAGTTTCACATGTAAGAAGTATACTTCATTCTTAATGTTGTCTGTGAGTTGAAAATCATTTATTTTTAATATAATTTTATTAAATTTTATAAAAAATATTTTGCTTGAAACTCATTTATTCTTAACTCCCGTAAGCCTCATCATCTATCAGAGGATTTCCATTTGAGCCCACTGCACTAAGAAACCAAAGCCATAATTTCTTTTGGACAAAGAACTCTTGACACTCCCACAATCCCTTTTGTTTTGGTGGAGCAAAAGTCCAAAGAGACAGCTGCAAAAGATGACGTGTCCTCTCTTCCTTACCTGACTTGGCCCCATCAGGAGGAAGAAGGCCACAAATCAAGTTGATACCTTCATCTCCCAGCATGCAGTCCCCCAGGTCCAAGGCCACAAGGGATGGATGGATGGATAAAGCTGGGTTGAGAATGGCCAGACCAGCATCTGTCAGAGGACTCCCATGAAGGCTGCATAAATAAAAAGGAATTATAGATTCCCTTTCCTTCGACTTGCAAATGATAAAACAAATCTTAGGCCTGTGTTTCTCAACCTCAGCAACTTTTAAGATGTGTGGCTTTCAACTCCCACAAGTCTCAGCCAGTATCCACACATCTTAAAGTTGCTGAGGCTGAGAAACATTATATGCTGCATAGGCACTTCGTTTCAGAAATTAGAATGAAATCAGGCACTGGTAGAAAAACACAGGAAGGTTATAATGGAGGACAAGAACACTTGAACCCTCTGAAAGAGGTAGAGAAACGTTCAATAAAAAGTCTTCTCTAAAAGCCCATTAATATATATTTTTGCCTGAACTTTCTTGTTTGGGAGCCCATTTCTTTATTGGAAGTGATCTTGAAAAACAAGGATGGTCCAACCTTGGCTAGTCTAAAGAAAAGAAGAAACAGGGGCGACATGATATCAGCATTCCAGTATTTGAGGGGCTGCCACAGAGAAGAGGGCGTTAAACAATTCTCCAAAGCACCAGGGGGCAGGATAAGAAACAATGGTTGGAAACTGACCAAAGAGAGAAGCAACCTGGAATTAAGGAGAAACTTCCTGACAGTGAGGACAATTAACCACTGAAACCGCTTGCCTTCAGAAATCGTGGGCGCTCCATCACTGGAGGTTTTTAAGAAGAAACTAGACAGTCACCTGTCTGATATGGTAGGTTCTCCTGCTTGAGCAGCGGGCTGGACTAGAAGACCTCTAGGGTCCCTTCCAGCTTATTCTATTCTATTCTATTCTATATTTCTATTTCTATTCTAATGTACACTTCTTAAAACTTCAAATTCATAATTGACATTAGCCTTACCCATTACTTGTTGAAGCTATTCTAACTACAGTGGTACCTCTGTACCCAACTGCTTGGTACCCAGTAGCATCAAATTTGCTATTCAATGCCTTTTTGTCGAGAAAATTTTGTCCCAGTACTCATCATTTGTTTGGTACTCAATGCGCAAGCTAGAACCTGTTGGTGTTGGTTGCCTTGTGACTTGCTACCCTTTCCAGCCGAAACAATGGGTGATGCATTAGTCACACAGTAACTCCTGCCCTCTACACATCCCCTTACAATCTTATTTTAGTTTCTATGGTTATTTTGTGTATTTTTGCACTTTTTTGCCTCATCACTACAGGTAAAGTGAAGTTTTTATTTTATTTAATCTAAGTATTTATTAACTTTTAGGCTTTTTTTTCATGTAAAGTCATGATATACAACCCTATGTTTTTACATATTGCCTTAAAAATGGCATTGTCTTGGGTTTGGGAATGCATTAAATTTATTTACATTATTCCTTATAGGAAAAATTTATTTGGTACTCATAATTTTTGGTACTTATCACACCTCCCAGGACCAATTAATGACAAGTACCAAGGTACCACTTGTATTTGGATCAGGTAAATAAAAATCATACAACCTGCAGTTATAGGGACTAAAGCAGCTTTTTAAAAAATTGTAATAAATTTAAGAGGACTCTCCCTGACCTTCTCTGAAAATGAATATAAGATTTGGTAGCTCATTTAACTGTTCCATTAATTTATTGGCTTTCATGTTTTCTTAACCAAAGGTGGGGAAATTGCATTCCTACTAAAATCTATTGGATTTTGACTTCTTACCAGCTCCAGCTCAAATAGCAAATATTCTAATTTGTGTCATTTACTAATGACTACCTTTTATTCTGGGGAATTAAATTGTGATAATTATCAATATTTAGGATTGGATGACCTTTGGTTCTTTAAAATGCATTAAAATCCAACCTCCCAGAACAGGAAGATATGTTTCTTTGGAGCAATAACCATTTAACAATATGGAAAGGATAACTGAACTACACTAAGGAACTCTGGAAGCCCTCATTCACACCTGAGTACATTTCATTTACGCCAATGAAACACAACTTTTAAAGAAACCAGCACAGCATCTGCCCTGCAGGATTTTTGCAACACTGGAGTTGAGGCAACATTCTCGGCTGATACTAAATGGAGGGCTTACTCACAATAAAGATTGGACAGAGCGGTTTGTCTTCAGAGCTTCAGCCAATTGCTTGACCCGATTGATATTGGAAACAATCCCCAAGTTAAGATTAAGTTGAGCCAGGGAATGAGACTCTGCTACCCCCTTGCAGATGCGACCGAAATCTCGATCAGAAAGTTGACAACCACGGAGGGAAAGCAGTTTGATGGAGTTCTCCCGCAAGCTCTCACAAATATCCCGAATCTCCGCACTGGATAAAGTCTCCCCAGAGATCTGAATAGATCCTGGCAACATCGCTCTGAAAACTAGCAAACACCTTCAGCAGTTTTACTATGTTAATCCGGATTGCTGTGCTCAAAAAATATGGGAAACCCAGATTAGCGCGCCAGGAGCGCTCGGCAATCCGGTTAAAAAAAGAGAAAAGCAGGGCGTTACATAAAAGAGTGAACCGACAGTTTTGTAATCCTGGGTAAAATTGGACGATTGGTGCAATTTTAAATAAAAGGAATGCATCGATCAAAACAATATGCGATTCGGAAAAGTCCTGCTGGGCGTATTGCACGAACTGGAACCGAGGAGACACATCAATCAACGCGCCTGATCGGACTGAGGTAAATTCCGCGCAAAATCCGAGTTAAAAGCTGGGAGGCTAACAGCGCCAAATGTCTAGACAGGGGGAAAAGGGAGCGCGCTCCGTTTCTAAAGAGGAGTGGGAAAGTGAGCGGACTGATAGGTGGTGCAGCGGGAATAAGAAATGCAAATCGAAATCCGAGCCAAAGTCTTTCCAGGGTTTAAAAGCCGAGTGAAGGCGGATTGTCTGGATTCTGCAGAAGCGGGAACCAGGCGTGCGCGGGTGTTTGTCTTCCGGGTTTTCTCCCGTTTCAGAGAAACCCCTCTTCCCCCGGCGCGCTTCTTCCCATTCGCAGCGCTCGAGTCGCAAGCCCGGGGGCTGATAGCCGTCTTGCTGTTCTCTCCCCGCCGCCCCACTTGCTCTGCTCTGGCCGCAACGGAGGCCCGACTCCTCCAGCCCGGAGACTGCGGGCTCTGCCTCCCTTCCCCGACGCTTCCTTCTCCTCCTCCTGTTTTCACCGCACCCGCGGCTACCGCTGCAGCGCTTGACGCAGCTTGACCGACGCGCGGAGCGGAGCCTGGCAGCCCGGCCTTCTTCCTCCTTGTGTCCGGGGGGAAGGATCCAGCTTGATTTGGCGCTGTGCCGGTTTCTATGGCTACCCTCCGATACTGGAGCCGCCGGAGCCGCCGCCTCTTGCCGAGACAACCACTCGGTGGCGCTTGCAGTCATCACTTTTCACACTAAATCCCTCCGCGGCCTAATCCCTCCAGGAGCCATAAGCATCCCTCTCCCGTACCTCTTCCTCCCGCCCCCCCCTCCGATCTGGAGAGGAAAAAATAGAAGTATCCAGATGGGGGTCGATGGGAGAATTGCAATTATTTTAAAAAGCAATAGCTGGACTAGATCCGAGGGGTTGTCTTAATTTTGGATAAACTGTTCCACCTTGTGGATGCTTCTGGGCGGAAATTCCTGGGGAAAGCCCCAGATCCCAAAGAGTGAAGATCACGCCCTAGGAATCCGCAGTTTACTCTCTGGATGCTCAACGGTACTGTTTTTTTTTTTTTCCTTAACCAGATTCAGCCCTTCCACCTCAGAAGGAAGAGCCAAGTTTCCTTTTCCATTTACAAAATCAGAGACCATCCTGCAGAATGTGAATCATAAGGTCTGTTTCTTACGTGCAGGAATTAGGACAGAAACTCCTAGTTACAGGAAACTGGGTAACTTTCAGGTGGGTGGACTTAATGCTGCTGCTGCTGCTGCTGCTGCTGCTGCTGCTGCTGCTAATAATAATAATAATAATAATAATAATAATAATAATAATAATAGTAATAATCACCCCAGACTTAACAATTGTCGATAAAGTCAAAAAAGTCTGGATAGTGGATGTGGCAGTGCCTGGAGATAGCAGAATAGAAGAGAAAGAACTGGAGAAGATAACAAAATACAAAGACCTACAAATAGAAATAGAAAGACTGTGGCAAAAGCAAGCAAGGGTAGTACCAATAGTCATAGGCTCCTTGGGTGCAATCCCAAAACAACTGGAGCACCACTTGAACACCATTGGCATTGACAAATTCGCTATTAGTCAATTGCAAAAGGCGGCCTTACTAGGAACTGCTTCCATCCTGCGACGATATCTGTAATACCATCAAACATCCACATCTGCCTATCCCAGGTCCTGGGTAAGGACTCGATAGGTAGACAAAATGCCAAATCCAGTCTGAACATCTGGCTGACTGTGCGATGATCGATAATAATATAAGTTGGAAGTGACCTTGGAGGTCTTCTAGTCCAACCCCCTGCTCAGGGAAGAAATCCTATGCCATTTCAGACAAATGAAAGTTTTTCTTAAAAACTTTCAGTGTTGGAGCATTCACAGCTTCTGGAGGCAGGTTGTTTCAACTCCCAGAATCCCCCAGTTATCAATGGTATTTATCAAGAAAATTGAATTGTATGTTTTATGTTACTACAAACTGAACATTGAGTCAGCCATATAACATAATGTCCAGAGTTGCATTATCACTGAAATGGAAGGCATATAAATTCAATAAATAATAATGGCTGCAGTACAAATAAATAATGCATTCATTTCACCTTGTATTATCAGAAATAGGTCTACTTTTTCTGCATTAATCAGTCTTCACTTTCAGTACAGGGTCCAATTTTGGGAACCACAATTAAAAATGGATTGAAACAAATTTAGATATGTTCAGAAAGAAGCAGCAGGGATGATCCAGAGCCTAGAAACTATCTCCTATAAAAAAAGATTAAGGGAATTGGAAATGTTTAATCTTGGGAAGAGAATCTTAAGAAGCTACTAATCGGTAGTCTTCAAGCAGGGTTGTTAAGACCAGGCAACAACTGGTTTTGATAATCATTGGTTGTGCAATCACGTCTGGTATATATATGCATGAGCAGGTGTGCATCTGGAAAGAGTTTTTGTTAGTTCAGTCCCTGGTCCCAGATTTGCTACCTAATCCAGCTTTAAGGCACAAGGCCTGGCGCTCTGTTTATATGCTATGTAGGGGGTGTTTCAGTGGGGAAAGAGTCCATTGGATGCTGATGGGCTTAAATAATGGCCCTTCCCTCAGTACTTATTGTTGCCAATGACTATGCTATCACAGATCATTCAGGAGGCTAAAATTGCCTGGGATCATATGACAGTGTGTGAAGCTTAATGTTCATACAGCACATAGGAAAAACCATTTCATGACTTAGCATGATATATAAAGCAGTGTGATATCAGCAAAACGCTTGGCCTCTTTCTTGATTATCTGAGCCAAGACATATAGCCTTCATACAGGGACCTCTTAAGGACATCAGTATGACTGTTGCATTATTAGTTTTGCCTTTTACTGTCCCACACAAAGTACTCCCTTGATGTTCACACAAACCATGCACGCAGGGCTGAAAAAGGCACGGTGGCAGTACACACCAGTGCAACCACTCGTGAGAAAGATACTGCCATCTTCCTCCAACAGTGTAAAAAAACAAAAGTACAATAATTAGAACTTACAATGAAAAAAGAATAGGTTTATTTAATAAAACATTAATTGTATAAAGTACTTTGCAGAGTTCAAAAATACAAAAAAAAATAAATAGTATGATCAACATTAAAGTAGTAACAGGAAAAGAAGCAATAGCAAAATCATAAATCACTGTTGCACTGACACATTATTAAAAGGTATGGGAGAATAAAACTGCCTTAGCCTGCCAACCAAAAGACAATGATGGTGCCAGGTGTATCTTGCTGGAGAAGACTTCGCAACTTAGAGGATTATGTCTAAGCCTGTGTATCGAAACAGTATCTCGAAGAAGAACAATGGAAAATAGTCAAAAGTATGGTTCAAATAAAATTAAAGGAAAACAATCTAGGATAAAACATCACCCCAAGCCCCAGTTCATCAGTTTAATTTTTCACATGATAGCTCCATCATCTCAGTATTTTATGCACTGTCTGGTATTGGTTCTTTGGGATTTTAGACAGGATTGTTGTTTTTTCATGTGGAGATGCTGACATTGTTTCCAAACAAAACCTGGACATTGTAACTGAACAGATGTTAAGAAGGGCTGTAAATCTCAATTGGAATTATTTCTGGGGAATGATCAAAAGGAACTCAGGTGAGCTACGCCATCTATAGTGAATGTGTTGATCCATCAGGCATACAGGCTTCAGAATTTGACTTAATAAATGCATTTTCACACACTACTTGTTCCATTCCCCTGATTCTCCAAAGTGCTGCTGCTGATTCATTATCACACTCTTCTACTCACCTTGCTACACTGAGAAGCAAAGAGTAATTGCTCTGCCCTAAAAATCCTCTTGACATTTATTCATGTAAAAGGGAAATGAATGCACTCCCTCTCCAAGGTGAAAAGCTGTTCTGTCACTTTTCCCCTTGAAAAATCTCCAAGGACAGGTGGCCCACTGGGAGGCAGCAGTTTTTGCAAATTGGGACATGGACTGCCCACCAGCTCTGCAGAACTGCAGCATTTTAAAGGAAAGGATTAGGTTTATTGCCGTTTCAGAAATGCTGCTGATGAATCAGAAATGACTGGGATTAGCTCTCCAACACTGCTGATGCCACAGGATCACAGGCAAGCTGGAGCTGGTTTCAAGTTAAGTCCTCATGTAGAATTGCTTTGAGCTGCTGCCACCACTGTCACCATACAGTAATGTTATAATATTTCTCCTTCATAACCCCAGTTTTTGAAATTATATAGCTGAAGCTTATTTGCTTGCTACCTTTGGCATGCACATTCTTGGTATTGCATGAAGAGATTGCTACTGCTTGTAGAAGAAGTGAGACCTTAACTTCAGAGGTGCTGTACAATAAAAATTCACTGGCAGTGGCCATCTCTTCAGTAAAATAGTCTGTTCCCTGCAAAGCTTAGCGTCTGAGCTGTTATGGTCACAACTTTGTTTATCCTTATCCTAGAACGTAGCAACTGGTATTGAAACAAACCTGGGAGGCACAGTTTTCATCAAGGAGTTTTGCTTACTTTAGCAATCAAACTCTGCAGTGGTTGCTTGGCTGAAGTTTTATGTGGTTAATTAGAGGAAATTAGAGGAAAGGAGAATTAATTCCTGCTGTTAACTTTCCTCTTGCTCAGTGGATTATTGCAGGGTAGAGAATCATGAGGAGTCAAAGAAAAATAAATGGCAACCTGAAATTAAAAAAAAAAACATTCTTAGCCCTCAGTTAAATAAGAAAAAATATTTGTCTTAGACAAATATTAGATTAGAAGAGCAGGATAATCAACCATTGTATTTCCATACAGAATGCATGTGCAAAAGCACTTTGGTGACTATAAGCGAGAAGACTTCAAGAATTTCATGTTAAAAGTGAAAAAAGGCAACATAAGAGCTGGTTGCTCAGTTTTAAAAATGGAAGATTGAATCAATAGGTGATGCCTATTCCATGCAAATAAGCAAAGGAGATGTTAAAGTAATAACAGATTTCTTTCTAGGCTCAAAAGTTTACAAGGATGCTGACTAAGTATGTAATGTCTGCTATTTTGGAGAAAGATGTGCATCTAAACAAAATATTAAGTACAGAGAAAATACACTGATATCATGCATACTCATTATACACACAAATCCAAGACAAGATGCTTAAATTATTCTGGATTGGAGGTAGCACTAGTATGAGCTTATCCAACAAGCAATGGCAGCAAATTGATGATGTGGTACTGTATTGTGAGGATTGTTTTTCAAGGACTGGTCATACTGTAGCATAACAAATAACTATACACAATGCTTTGTTGTAGCACATCTCTTCCCCAACTGCTACTCTAGGTTAACTCCATCCTCCTAGCCTTGCGGGTTAAGGTAGCCACGTATTAATAAGTTTTTAATGCTCAGTCCTTAAGGCAAATAAAAGCTCAAAATCTGTAGCATACAACTCCACAGTCTCCCACCAAAAGTTCTTGCACTTGTTGAGATTAAGGGTTGCTTCAGTATGATTGCATTTTTTTTCCTGGTTGCTGCTAAGCTCCACTCTTAGGCATGTTTGCGTTTTGAACACTCCAGCTGAGCTGCAGGAAGGTATCACACTAAGATAAACTGTTCTCCATAATATGCTGTCCTGATA